GGGGGGGGTGGATCAGGCAGGCAGATCCCCGGGCGGAATGGAGGGTCCCAGAGAGCACGGTGACACCCGGTAACACCGGCCCGACGCCTGCTGCAGAGGCCCGCCGGACCCGCAGGCATCCCGGGGAGTGCAGGGCTCAGGGGCAGAGCCGAGCCAGGCTGGGAGAAAAGAGCCCGCAAGATGAGTGAAGGCCACTTGAGAGGTAGGTAGGTAGGCAGGCAGGCAGGCAAGGTGACCAGGGGACCCCGGCCTGGCAGCCCAGCCAGAGGAGCCAGGCGCGGGGGTCCGGCGGGCCCAGGCCTCTTGCTGTCCATCCTGGTAGGTGTGAGGAATCAGTTGGCTCCCCCCCTCCCCATGCAGGGGTGCTGCATGAGGGGCCGCAGGGGCGATCGCATGACCATCAGCATCCAGGAGCACATGGCCATCAACGTGTGCCCCGGGCCCATCCGGCCCATCCGGCAGATCTCCGACTACTTCCCTCGCCGCGGCCCAGGAGGGCCCGAAGGGGGCGGCGGAGGCGGTGGGAGCCGTGGAGAAGCCGCAGCCCACCTGGCCCCGCTGGCTCTGGCGCCCCCGGCTGCCCTCCTTGGGGCCACTACTCCCGAGGATGGAGCTGAGGTGGATAGCTACGACTCAGATGATACCAGTGAGTCAGGGGGCTTGAAGGGCTTGGGCAGGAAGCCTGGCTTGGGTGTGCAGAAGGATGTGGGGTGGGGGTGGGGGAAATAGGGCCCAGTCCCCAGCCACCACACAGCTGCAATCTGGGTGGAGATGACAGCTTCAGCGAGGCTCAATATTCAATATTTCTGCTGAGACACTCCACCACCCACACAGCCCCAGTTGGCCAAGCCAGGGACCCAGACAAGCGCTCACGCATATGCCCGCTCAGCGTCCTGCAGGCATATTGGCAGGCCCAGAGATACCGGACACACCTGTCTCCAGTGCTGGCCACACACCTCACCCATGTCTCGGCACATAAGAACCCCTACTTTCCCTCTTCTGCAGCTGCTCTGGGCACTCTGGAGTTTGACCTCCTCTATGATCAAGCCTCCTGCACTCTGCACTGTCGAATCCTCAGGGCCAAGGTAGGCCCCTGCCCCTGAATCCCCCCCCTCCCCCCCGCCCCAGGGTGCTTCTGATCTTCCCCTCCCTGGTACTGCACACTGGTGGGGGGTTCAGCACAGGGAGGGCTCAGGGCCAAGAGCCCACCATCTTCTCTGCGTGCCCTCCTCCCCTCCAGGGCCTCAAGCCCATGGATTTCAATGGCCTGGCTGACCCCTATGTCAAGCTGCATCTTTTGCCTGGTGCCTGCAAGGTAAGGCTTCTCTCTCCTGTCTCAGATTCTTCCAGCCCCTACCTTTAGCCCCTGGGGACCTGGAGGAGCTGTATTAAAAACCCTCCATAGCTGGTGCTGGTGGCTCACGCCTGAGATCTGAGGATCTCCGTTCACCTGCCCAGGTTGGCTTGGAACCAAGATCCTCAGATCTCAGCCTCCTGAGTAGCTAGGAGGACAGGAGTAAGCCACCAGCGCCAGGCCCGAGACACTCTTTATGTCCAGTTAACCACCAGAAAACCTGAAGTGGCACTGTGGCTCAAGTGGTAGAGCGCTCGCCTTGAGCTGAAGAGCTCAGGGACAGTGTCCAGGCCCAGAGTTCAAGCCCCATGACGACCACCACCACCAACAAAAACCACAATAAAACCCACCTCCATCCTAACACTCCAGGCCAATAAGCTAAAAACAAAGACTCAGAGAAACACGCTGAATCCTGTGTGGAATGAGGACCTGACCTACAGCGGAATCACAGACGATGACATCACTCACAAGGTGCTCAGGTAAGGGCCCGTCCCTGCTACCTGGGGGGAGCTGCCATTGTAACCTGTTTGGGTTTGATTTAAATCAGTGGTACTCAAAATAGCCCCTGGCATTGCTGTCCCTAGCATCTCCTATTGCTTCTCCAAGGAGGACTAACTTCTGTGTCCTTTTTTTTTTTTTTTAACAACTTCTCACCTTTATCTGCTGTGTCTCTTTTGTCTGGAGTGTTCCCAGCTCTCTCTCTGCCAGCCCTCATCCAAGATCAGTCTCCTTAGAAGCTTTCTGTGGCTGGGCACTGGTGACATATGACCATAATCCTAGCTACTCAGGAGGCTGTGATCTGAGGATTGAGATTCAAAGCCAGCCCTGGCAGATAAATCGATGAGATTGGTATCTCCAGTTAACCAGCAAAAAGCCAAAAGTGGAGGTGTGGCTCAAGGGAAAATGCACCAGCCTTGAGTGAAAAAGCTAACAGATAGGGGGAGGGGCAGGAGAGAGCTTTCTCTGGTCACCGAGACCCCTTCCCAGAGCCCCTGACTTGTCAGGTCTGCATACCTGAGGCCCTCCTGTCATCCTGTCCCATGCCCCCCCCCATAAATCTAAGGATGGAAGGAGTCATTGGGGGCCAAGAAGCTTGCTAACGCTCTAGCACAGGGAGCAGTAAGGAGAGGCTTTCTCAAGGATAGTGAAGCAGCAAAACCCAGGCTTGGGAGAGACGGGGGGGGGGGGGGGGAGGCGATGCTTTTGGCCCATCTAGGTCTCACCTGTGGCCACATCCACCAGGTGCGTCTGTGGTGATCCATCAGCTCCTGTCTCCAGGGTAAGAATGGGAGCAAGCCCCCAGGTCTGAGCAGATTATAGCTGGACCGGAGAGCGCAGGGCAGGGAATAGACAGACTCATTCTTCTTCCTGAGTTCTCACCCATTTTACAGCTGAGGTGTAGAGGGCAGGCAGAGCTGCGAGTAATCTTAAGGTTTTTCTCCATCTTTCTCACACCAGGGCAGGGCCTGATACCCAGGGGGTCCTGACCCTGTCATTCTTCACCAGGATCTCTGTCTGTGATGAGGACAAGCTGAGCCACAATGAATTCATTGGGGAGATCCGAGTACCCCTGCGCCGCCTCAAGCCCTCACAGAAGAAGCATTTTAACATTTGCCTTGAGCGTCAGGTCCCGGTCTGTGTGTGGGGTATGCAGGAGTGTCAGGGGGAGGGGCTCCTGGGGTGGATGAAGTTGCTAGAACCTTCTCTTTGCTTCCCCCCCTCCCAGCTGGCTTCACCCTCTTCCATGTCAGCGGCACTGAGGGGCATCTCCTGTTACCTGAAGGAGGTGAGGTGCCTGAGCATCAGTCGCCCTTCATGGGCGGGAGGTGCTGGAAGACCCAGGCTGACCCCTGCATTGGTCTCTTGCAGCTTGAGCAGGCTGAGCAGGGCCCTGGGCTGCTGGAAGAGCGAGGGCGGATCCTGCTGAGCCTCAGCTACAGCTCGAGGCGCAGGGGCCTGCTGGTGGGCGTCATCCGCTGTGCCCACCTGGCTGCCATGGACGTCAATGGCTACTCTGATCCTTACGTGAAGACGTGAGTCCTCACTCTTGTCCTCCCCAGGGAGCCAGATCCCAGAGCCCTTCCTCCGTGGCCTGGCCTGGCACATGGCCCCTGCTTCTCCCCCCAGGTACTTAAGACCAGATGTGGATAAGAAATCCAAGCATAAGACGTGCGTGAAGAAGAAGACTCTAAACCCAGAATTTAACGAGGTAACCTAGGCAGGGCCTGGAAGTGGAGGTGGACTGAGGCAGGGCTGGAGAGGGCCTCAGGGAGAGATGGGGCGCATCTCGTCCTCAGGAGTTTTTCTATGAGATGGAGCTCTCCATTCTGGCCACCAAGACTCTGGAAGTCACGGTCTGGGACTACGACATTGGCAAATCCAACGACTTCATAGGTGAGGGGAGGAGCTCGGCTGTGGCCCTGCTACAGAGGGAGGGCTGACTAGTGGAAGCAGGGCCCTGATTGGCCCTCCCTCGGCCTGCACTCCAGGTGGCGTGTCCCTGGGGCCAGGCGCCCGAGGAGAGGCCAGGAAGCACTGGAGTGACTGTCTGCAGCAGCCGGACACAGCCCTGGAGCGCTGGCACACCTTGACCAGTGAGCTGCCCCCCGCCGCTAGCGCTCTCCCCTCGGCCTGAGCGGGCAGCAGCTGCCCAGCACGAGCCCTCTGGGCAGGGTCCAGTACCCAACCTACGCACGAGTGTGTTGCACGTTTACATGAGGCCTCTGCCTCTGCCCTGCACTACCTGTCTTATTTTTGTGAGAGTCTCCGTGACCGTGGGTCTGTCTTCTTGTGAGGGACTGGGGAGATCTATATTCACATATGCAAACTTCCTGCCTGCAAATATGCAAACCACCTCCATGCACACGGGAGGGAAGTCCTGCTGACACCCCCCCCCCCTCCACCTGCCCACCCTGCTGCCTCTCTCCTGCCTCTCCAGGCTGCCCCGACCCCCACCCCACAGGGAGGAGGTCGGATTCGGGGAGGTCAGGAGGAGATTTCCAAAACAAAAAGTACAAGGAGGGGGGAAAAAAAAAGAAAAAAAAAAAAAAGAGCCAATCCTTTAATACAGAATCTTCATTTAAAAGAAAAAAAAAAAAAAAAGGTCCTAGCCCTGTACAGCTGCCCTTTTCAAGGGGTGGTCTCCACAGGATCTCTGCCTCCATAAGAGGCGCCAGATCCTCCTGGCCACTCATTCAAATAACTGTCCCCTGGCAGGGGCCAGAATGTGAGGGCAGGGCCCCTGCCCCCTTCCTAGGGGACAACTGTGCATGTTTACGCCTTTTCTGATTGTGTCAGTAGCCGAAGTATGGCAACTGGGCATCAATAAACACCTCTGAGGAAGCTGGGGCTCTTGTGCTGGCACAGGGAGGGGCGCTGGGCAGGGCCTGGCACATGGCACTGGCTGGTCACTCCGGGATGTCGATCACCAGGTCATCATCCCCATCCAGGGCGTCATCCCCACTGCCTGCATCGCTGAACATCTGCCGAGGGACGGTGCTCAGGATGGTATGGGGGGGCATCTTAGGAGGGGGGAGGGGGGTCAGAGCTGCCCCGACCCCAGTCCCAGGACCCCGGGCAGGGAAGGTCAGTGGCCCGCCCACAGGGCAGTCAGGAGGTCCCACCGCCATCTGTAGCAGAGGGAAGAAACACAGGGAGGACTTGTTAGTGAGGCCTGGGGCTTCGGGGAGGTTGGGAACTGCCTGGTCAAGGCAGCTGCAGGGAAGGGGGGGGAAGGGGCACTGCTGCGGGCAGGGCTGACCCCACCTCAGCCCCTTCAATCTCAAGCTAACAAGTGCCTGGGGGTGAGAGCAGTGATGGAGGCGAGATGAGGGGGTAGGGATGGGGTGTCTGACAGGAAGCCAATGGAAGAGTTGGGCCCTGCTCTCTCCAGGAAGCAGCACTTGAAGCCAGAGTCAAAGCCAGCAAGGAGTGCCCACCTCCTGCCTCTGGGCATCTCGGGTAGCACCTGCCACGACTGGCTTGTTCCCCCTCCTCCTGAGGGGCTCCTGGCTTGGAGGAGGGGCTGCCAGGCAATGCACGGTACCAGAGGCCACCTGAGCCAAGAGCCTGGGCAGCTTTGTTCGCCCTCCCCAGGAAGCTTCTATGACAACTTGGACCACGGGCCCCTCCTGGGATCCCCGCAGCCGCTGGCCTCGGCCAGGCCCTCCTCTCAGCTCACCTGGGCTAGGTACCAGCCTCCTAACTGGACTCCCTGCCTTCAGCCTCTCCCAGATCCAGCTCCTCCTCCACACTGCAGCCAGAGTGATGGCTCTAGAACACAAACCTGAGCATGTCACTCCTCCGCTGTGGGACAGCGGTGCAGTGCGCCTGACCACAGGCTAGCCCTCTACCTGGAGCATCCTTCTCTATCTGACACAGTCCTGCTTTGTCCTCAGAGGCTGGAAAGCAACCTTCGGTTCTGCCGGGCCTTCCAGAGCCAGCCTGTAGATCCTCACACATTCACACGCACAGCTCTCACGCTATGGGCACACACTTAGCACCTACGCTGTGCAAGTTGAGTTCTGTCAGATCTCCAGTTTCTTTGACCACCATGGACAGGAGGAGAGGTCATATGCCACAGGAGAGAACTGAGGCTCAGATACGAGTTTAAGGAACAGACCTGCCAGGTCCCCACTAGGCAGTGTCTCAATGTGCTGTGAGTATGTGGTACCCATGAAGGCCTCCTGATTAACGTGACATACCTGGTTCCATGGCCTGCTCTGATTTTTTTTTAAGATTTTTTTTTATGCTGGTCCTGGGCTTGAACTCAGGGCCTGGGTGTTGTCCCTGAGCTCTACTACTTTGAGCCACAGTGCCATTTCCATGTTTAAGTGGAAATAACCGTCTCACAGACTTTCCTACACAGGCTGGCTTTGATCTCAGCCTCCTCAGTAGCTTGGATTTACAGGCGTGAGCCCCCAATGCCTGGCCTAGGCTGGCACTCTACCACTTGAGCTACAGCTTTTTGGTAGTTAACTGGAGATATGAATCTCACTGACCTTCCTGCTTGGGCTGGTTTCAAACCATGATCCTCAGATATCAGTCTCCTGAGTGGCTAGCATTTCAGGCGGGGGCCATGGTACCTTGTCCTGCTCTGTTTCTGAAGGAACCTCACTTTGTTACCTTGCTTGTTTGCCCTTTTCCTGTCAACTCATATTCTGGATTTTTTTTTTTTTTTTTTGGTGCTAATAGCGGGGCTTGAACTCAGGGCCTGGGTGCTGGTTGTCCCTTAGCTTTCTTTCTTTTTTTCTTTCTTTTTTTGGTCAGTCATGGGGCTTGAACTCTGGGCCTGAGCGCTGTCCCTCAGCTCTTCAGCTCAAGTCTAGCGCTCTACCACTTGAGCTACCATACCACTTCTGGTTTTCTGGTGGTTTATTGGAGATAAGAGTTTCACAGACTTTCCTGCCCAGTCTGGCTTTGAACTGCATCCTCAGATCTCAGCCTCCTGAGTAGCTAGGATTATAGGCGTGAGCCACCCTCACCCAGCTAGCTTTCTTTCTTAAGCCTGGTGTTCTACCACTTGAGCCATAGCTCCATTTCTAGCTTTTCCTTAGTTAACTGGAGATAAGGTGTCTAGGAGTCGCATACGCTATACGCTTTCCTGCCCAGGCTGGCTTAGATCCTTGATGCTTGGATCTCAGTTTCCTGAGTAGGGAGGATTACAGGCATGAGCACCAGCACCCAGCTCTGTTCTCTTCTGTGTATCTCCAGCTTAGTTTCCTGATCTCCTTTTACCCCAAGACAACGCATCAAGTAGCAAGCTACCAACAACCCATGCCTATGCCACACTTCCCTGTCTGTTCCTTGTTGTCTTCCTGTCACTTGCCTTTTTTTTTTTTTTTTAACCTACCTTGCTCTATTCCTCCCAGCAGAGGCCAGTACCATCACCCTGATTTTCAGGTCAAACTCATGCTTGGTACATGCCAGGCTAAAATTCTACAGCTGAGCTACATGTCGGCTCTCAGAGGCTACCCCCTCACCTTTTGATTCTGGCTTCAGAGACCTGAGAGCTGTCCAGCTGACAGCTGTGTCCTGCGCTGGCTCCTCCTCCTTGTTCCTAGGGCTCTAGGCCCAGCTCTCTTTTTTTCCCTCTGTGCTAAGGACTTCCAAATAAGCACCATGAGCCCCACCCAGGCCCATAAATACAGCAGTCTACTCAAATTTTCACAGGGCTGCCAAGGCCAAGGCCACATACTGATCTTCCTTCCAGAACCTGCTCCTACTACAGTCTTTTCCTTTTTTTTTTTGGCCATTCCTGGAGCTTGAACTCGGGGCCTGGGCACTGTCCTTGAGCCTTTCTGTGCTCAAGGCTAGCGCTCTACTATCTGAGCCACAGTGCTACTTCCGGCTTTTTCTGTTTATGTGGTACTGAGGAACCCAGGGATTCATGCATGGTAAGCAAGCACTTGCTAAGCCACATTCCCAGCCCCTCTACAGTTTTCTCCTCTTCCTCCTCCTCCTCCTTTTCCTGCTGCTACTCTATTGGGCCTGAAATCAAGATCTCTCAAGTTCTGGCTTGGTTCTTTCACTCAAGACTGGTGCCTTACCACTTGAGCCATACCTCCATTTCTGGCTTTTTGATGGTTAATTGGAAATAAAAGACTCTGGGATTTGTCTGTATGGACTGGCTTCAAACCATGATCCTCAGATCTTAGCCTCTGATTAGGTAGGATTACAGGGGCTGGCTTTGAACTTCAGTCATCTAGGTCTCAGTCTCCTGTGCAAGTGCCCTGCTTATATCATTTCTTGTAAGCCTCACCCTACAGTACTAACTTTACATAGCTCTGCTTGCTGAGTGCCCCACTCCTGCCTCAATCATGGCTTTCTCCGCTGGGACCTGGTACCCACTGCATCTTCTGCACTTGTTCTGGGGGGGCGGGGGAGGGTTCTGCCTGCTTTGTTCACCATGCAGCTGTGGCCACCCACAATACAGAACAGAATCTACAAGACCTGGACTGTCCCAGAGGCCTGCCCCAAGTCATTCATCTCTCTTTCTTTCTCTCTGCCAGTCCTGGGCTTGAACTCAGGGCCTGGGCACTGTCCCTGAGCTTCTTTTGCTCAAGACTAGCCTTCTACCACTTGAGCCACAGCACCACTTCTGGCTTTTTCAGCTGATATGATACTGAGCAATCGAACCCAGGGCTTCATGTATGCTAAGCAAGCACTCTACCACTAAGCCACATTCCCAGAATGCTTTGCTTTCTCCCCCCCCCTCCCCTCTGTTTGGGGTGGCAACACTAGGGTTTGAACTCAGAACCTCACCCTTGCTAGGCAGGCAAATCTACCATTTGAGTAATGCCCCTGCCTAGGTCCATTTCCCATGTTATTGTCCTTTTTTTACCTAGGGCTGTATTCAGATCAAGATTCTCCTACCTATACTGATGGTATAGCTGTGGTGACAGGTGCACTCTACACCAGGCTTGCTGAGTGTGATGAGGTCTCACTCACTAACTTTACCCTGGCTGGCCTCGAACAACAACGCTTCTTATTTCTGTTTTCCAAATAGCTGGTATTACAGGTGTGAGCTTCTGCACCTGGCCTAAGTCATATGGCTTTTAACTGGGACAGGCTATATCCCTCAATTCTGGCTGCCAGGTATCACACAGGATTCATGACCTGGGCACACATACCATACTCTGGCCCTGTGACACAGGCAGGACCCCAGGTCTCTTCAATCCCAGACCCAGAAGGCTGACTGTCCACCTTTGTTTCCAGAAGGAGCCTGTGAACCAGGACTTCTCTGCTTTGCCCCTAAGTGTCTTATCCTATGATCCCAAATCCAGTTTTCAAAATTCCTGGAATGATACCCCAAGTCCATCTTGAGCCTCCCTCAGACGGCTGTCCTGCCATTGTGCCCCTCCCTAGCATTCCCAAATCAGGGTACCTTGAGTTTCCGGGGCAGGCGGGGCCGTTTCTCCCGCTTGGGCCTCAGGGGACTGGGCTCGGGCAGCTGCAGGGCCAGGTAGTCAGAAGGGAATGGGGGGTAAGGAGGGGAAGCCAGCTGCTGGTGGGGGTGGGGAGTGGAGATGGGAAATGGAGGGGGTCAGGGTGAGGGGTGAAGGGAAGAAATGCACACAAGAGAAGAATGGAAAAACAAAAGAGATGGTGATGAGTGTGGCTCCAGGGTTCCTGAGAACAGAAGGGGAGGGACAGCAGCAGGACCATGTCCTGGGTCTGTTCTCCTCAGGCATGTCTGTCCCTGATTCCTACATGGGAGAGAAATGGACAGCCCCGCCTCACACCCTCCATGGATGCTAGCTGGTACACTCAGCCAGATGTCTCCCGAGCAGGGAGGTTTCACCCCAAGTCCTAACCTCTGGTCCAGACACCCCCACCCCCACCCCAGTCCTCTACTTCCCCGCCTTGACCCCACTCACCGAGCTCAGATATGGGGAGGGAGCCCCAGAAGCCTGAAGGGGAAACCCTGTTGAAGAAGGCAGGGAGAGGCTGGAGGGGGAAGGGGCTCCCCCTAGCGGAGGGCTTCTCTTCCTAGACAAAGGACAGGGGAGGAGGTCAGAGGTAGCCAGAGGGTCCAGGTTGCCCCCACCCTGCCCCGCCCAACACTGGCTTACCTCTTGGGAGCTGGTGTGTCCAATTTGGGTGTCCCCTCTGTCTCACTGTTATCTGAGGACGCCGTGGCATCGGAGTCTGTGGGAGGAGGGCTGGTCACTGGGGGCTGGGTCCCATTAACTTCAACAGAAGGGAAGCATGCTCCGCAGCTGGCATACATGCCTGCGTGCAGTTTTGGGGGAGACCAGCAGTACCCCTACTTTTCGCAATCTACTCCCTGCTCCTCCATTACTTGTTTGCTAAGCACCTGCTGTGTGCTAGGCTTCCTTACCCACACCTCATTTGGCATTCATAACTGTCCAAGGAGAAAGCAGGAATCACCTCTACTTCCCAGGCTCGGGGCTAGGACTTGAACCCAGGTGGGTGACACCTTGGTCATTTTATGCCTCTCACCTTGTTCGCTGCTCTCAGACCTGCCTTTGCTTCACTGCCCATATTTGGGATCCTGTTAAATCCATCCCTCAAACTTGACCTTTTACCCACCGCTCCCCTATTCCAATGGCCACATCGGGCCACCACATCAATATCACCTGCTCACTACTCCCTGCTACCCCACTGTCTAACGGGGTGGGGAATGTCTGGCCCATAAAATCATTTGGTACATGACAGCACTGACTCATCTGCATGCTACCTAAGGTTATCTGCCTGGATTGGTAATTCTGATGGTCCACAAATGGTGGTATATTACCTAAATGGCCCTTGACAGGAAAAAAAAGGTTCCCCATATTAGGCCACAGTCCAACCTAAAAACCTGATCACACCTTTCCTGATGGTGCTACCTACTGCTTATAGTGGCAGTGCTACCAGCTGCAACCTATTTTTCTGGCTTCTCAGTAGAGAGGTGGTACTGGGGATGGAACCAGGAGTCTTTCTGGTTCATGCTTGGTAAGATGTGTTATATGCCATCTCCCCAAAACTTTTTTTTACTTCACAGCAACCTTCTTCTTCAAAAAAAGTTCAGTACTTCTGCCTAGAAGGACCATCATTCACCTAATAATAGCTACACACAATATATACTATCCTCAACTTCTGTTCTTTATTTCTTTGGTTGGGGGGGGGTGGCGCCTGTATATACTGGAGTTTGAATTCAGGGCCGGGGTGGTGTCTCTGAACTTATTTTTTGGGTTCAAGGCTTACTTGAACTGCAGCTCCACTTTTTTTTTTTTTTTTTCCTGGTTGTGGGCCTAAAAGGATTACAGATGAGAACCAATGGCACCTGGTATTTTTTTTTTTTTTGCTGGTCGTGGGACTTGAACTCTGTCCCTCAGCTCTTCAGCTCAAGGCTAGTGCTCTACCACTTGAGTCACAGCACCACTTCTGGCTTTTTCTGCTTATGTGGTGCTGAGGAATTGAACCCAGGGCCACATGCATGCACGGCAAGCAGTCTACCACTGAGCCACCTTCCCAGCCCATACTTGATACGTTTTTGAGACAAGGTTCCCCTATGTGACTCAGGTTGTTCACAAACTCACAGCCTCCACAGTGCTGAGATTACAGGTGTGTACATTCAGTCTGAATATGTCCTCAGAGACATTGGTTGCAGAACTCCCCAGGGCTAGCTCACTGCTAAGCCTCCTAGAACCCTTTTCTCACACTGTGCTAGGAGGTGGCATGATCAGATTGTGTGCTCCTCCACGGTGGCAGATTAAATCTTTGGCTTTTGCTCTTCAGACTTACTGTGCTAGGTTCTCAGGCTTCTGGTCCTGAAGTACCCCTCAGACAGAAAGCTAAATAGACGGCCTTAGGGATGGGAACAGCAGGGAATGAGGGGCCAGAATAAAAGGGAAACTTTTTATGGCCTATACACCCTGGTCTCAATTTCTCTAGCTGTTACCTACAATTCTCCTATACTAATTAAAGAACGGGGGTTATGCGGTGCATCAAAACATTACTTACAAAAACTAGCTCTTATTTGCTTTATATGTGCCCTAGACCAATAGTTAAAGGGCCTGAAGTTATTTATGTGATTCCCACTTGCAAAAGGGTTACAAATTCTCCCCTTCCATCTTTTCAACCTGTGGGATTCATTAGAGGCCATGAAATCAATTTATCAGTTTGATCAGCATTAAAAGGAGGAAAAAACCAGTTTAAGAAGTATCAGAATGAAGTGTAATCCTAGCCAGTCAGGAGGGAGAGTTCTAAGGATTTTGGTTTGAAGCAAGCTGGGGCAGGAAAAGCCATGAGACTCTTACCTCCAATTAACCATCAAAAAAAACCCAGAAGTGGAGCTGTGGCTTAACTGGTAGAGTGCCAGCCTTGAACAAAAAAGTTCAGGGACAGCACCCAGGCCCCAATAGCAGTGTGCGCGCACGCATACGTGTACATATATGTACATACACACACACACACACACACACACACACACACTCTCTCTCTGAATGGTAGAGGCAACTAGCTAGGTTTAAGTGCCATTGGAGGCTGCATCAGCTTCCACAGGATGGGACCAAGAAGACTTGCTGAAGTGCCAGGAGCCTTGTCTTCCAAATTTTCATGACCCTGCTCACCAGAAGAGTCCTCATCCACGTTCTCATACTGCAGAAGTCGGTCTAGAAGGAAACTGAGGGAAGGGGTGGGAAGAGTGTGAGTCTTCTCATCTCAGCATTGATCTTGTGAGCCCCTGTCCCTTCTAGAAGAATCATTGGATCCTAAGATCCCAAGCACTTACGATCCTATGCCAAGACAGGGCCAGCCGTGGATCTCCAGCAGTCATACCGCCCGTGCCCCCCACCGTGTCTCACCTCTTGTCCCGGGACACCTTTAGTAATTTCCTCTGCGCCTTCCTGAGCTCCTCCTGGAAGCACTCGTGTTCCTGTAACACAGGTAGGGTAGGCGCTTAGTCAGGGGCGGCTGGTTAAGAGGTCCAGAACCTGAAGACAGCTCACTCCGGCTCCCCTTTACACATGGGTAAACTGAGGTCTTCCCAACGGCAGGCCTTGCACTCCACAACCTCCCAACACCGGCACTCACGTAGATGAGGAACTTGAGCTTCCGCTTCAGATTCCGATATTTCTTCTTGTAGTCCACTTCGCCGTCCGCCGGCCCGTTCATGACCGGCGCGGGAGCAGCGCCCCAGTACCCGGAGTCCCGCTACCCCGAACCGGCTCAGCTCGGCCTCTCACGCGGCCACTTCCGGGGACTCTGCAAGGCTGGGCCCATCGGACTACAGCTCCCAGCGTACCCTGCGCACGGGGAGCGTAGGCGCAAGGACCGCCCCCGCCTGAGGAAAGACGGGGGAAGCACGCCGCTTCCAGTGGCTACGCTGAAGATGGTGTGGCCGCGGCGGGTGACGTCACAAAGATGGCGGACGCCGGAGGGCGACGTTACTGATCCTAAAGGTGCTCGGCGAGTTGGACCCACAAGGTTTCCCTCCGAGAGTCCTAAGGTCTTGGCAAAAGACTCCGTTCCTTCTTCTTGCCTTTCGAGATAACAGCAGGCCTCGCTCGCTGCACGAGACCTTGGAGGACGGCAGCGTCGCGAGCTGATTACGTTTCACAGGTTTTGCCGGCGCCGAATTGTTTTCTAAGACGATTCGTTCCACTAGGGACGGGGCCCGCGAGATCCACCAACTGCCCAAGGGAAGGAAGTTTTGCACGGCCAAGTCTTCAGCCCCAGGGGTCCGAGACCGAGGTCCAACGGCCCTTCGCCTGGGAGTGCTGCGGGGTGCGCGTGCGCAAGCTGCTGTAAGAGCCACCGAGGAGTGCCCCGCCCCCCCAAAAAGGCGGGAGCCACCAATCCCAGGTGGGGCAAAATGGCGCGGGAGGATGAGCTAAGGGAGTTCACGCGCAGTTTCTTCAGGGGCCGACCTGACCTCAGGTGCCTGGGGGACGTAAGAGCTGGGGTTGGGTGGGCAGGGTGGGACTCGGTCTTGACACCTGTCTCTCTAGCACGACCACACACTCCGTCGTGCGGCGGAAGTACTTGGCCCACGTGGGCCGCGACCACTTGGAACCCGAGGAGAAGCAGGTGCTGAAGAGGCTGGTGGAGGAGGAGCTACTGCAGATGCTGGTGTGGGCACCAACCTGGGCTTGGGAGGCAAGGTTTGTTGCTGAGGGGGTGGGGCAGGACATAATCACGGTGTGTCTGCCCAATGTGCACATACAGGCAGATGACGCTGCAATGAGGGAAGAGAAGCTAGACCTCACCAAGAAGTTGAAGAGGTCGCCCAACTCCTCCAGTGACCCAGCAAGAAAAAGATCTCGCTTTAATTCAGAGTCAGGTTAGTTCTGTGCCCTAGCACCTGTGCCCTCCATCATGGACTCAAAAGATATTTATTTATCATAAGTCATCGGGCTTGAACTCAGGGCCTGAGTGCTGCCCCTTAGCATTTCTGCTCCAGGCTAGCACTCTACCACTTTGAGCCACAGCAGCACTTCCGGTTTTCTGGTGGTTCATTGGAGGTAAGTCTCAGAGTTTCCTGCCTGGGCTTACTTTGAACTGTGATCCTCAGACCTCAGCCTCTTGAGTAGCTAAGATTACAGCCACCAGCACCTGGCTCAAAAAGCATTTATTGTAATTCATGTATTATGTCTCAGAGCGTTAGTTGACGAGGCGAGGAGTCAGGAACCAGGAATAAGGTGGAGGGATAATAGCTATGTTTCATTTTGATCTTCCATCCATCTCGAGAGACGAGGCAACCTAACCCTGTCTTCTTTGCAGAGCCCAGCTCTGCAGCCTCCAGCCCAGGCTGCTTGGCATCTCCAGCCAAGGAGAAGGAAAATCCAACTGGAGCCTCAAAGAAAGTAGTTGAGAGCAGTGATGAAGAACCACAAAGGGACATGATGGCAAAGACAGGATCAGAAAGCAGTGAGGAGTACAGTGAGAGCAGGAGCAGGAAGAAACCTGGGACCAAGAAAAAGCAGGCAACAGGCAAGGCCTCAGCCAAGAAGCAGACCAGGGAAGACAGTGAAGACAGTGAGGAAGAACCGATCCAGAGGAAAGCAAAGCAGGCAGGGGGACGTGGAGAAGCTAAAAGCCACCGGGAACGTGAAAGTGAGGAGGAGCAGAGCCTAGCCAAGAAAAAAAAGAACAGTGAGGAGGAAGAGGAGGAAGGTGTTTGGAAGCCCAGAGCTGGAACCATTAGGGAAAGTTCAGCACAGAAAGGGAGAAACTGTAAGCAGAAAAGCAGGGCAGGGACACTAGTGAGCAACTTGGGGCAGAGTGAGGACGAGGAGAAAGAGGCAGCTGGCAGTGGGGATAACCAAGAGCCTCTCACGCAGACCAAGAATGTGGACAGGACTGTGTGTAAGGATAGAATACAAAGTGGAAGCAGTGAGGATGAAGACAGCGGGACAGTGCCAGTAACTGTTCAAGGCACTGGAAAGACAACCAGCTTGGGCAGTGGCAATGGTGAGGACAGTGACACAGAGAGGGAGGTGAGTGATGGTGAGGAAGGGACAAGTCCCAAGGGGGAGAGAAAGAACCGCTCTTCCAAGACCTCCAAGAAAGGCAGGACACGAAGCTCATCTTCCTCTTCAGATGAAAGTCCAGAGTCCAAGGGTGGCAAGGTGAGGGTGCAGACAGGGTGGGAGGCCACCACGAGAGAAGAGGGAGACCCTGACTCCAGCCCAGGAGGCTTGGCTTCCAGCTGCTCCTTCCTTGGTAGGCTGGCTCTGGTCGCCGTGGAGAGGACCACCCAGCAGTGATGAGACTAAAACGCTACATTCGGGCCTGTGGCGCCCATCGAAACTACAAGAAGCTCCTGGGTTCCTGTCACTCACACAAGGAGCGTCTGAGTGTACTCCGCGCTGAGCTGGAAGCCCTGGGCATGAAGGGTAAAGTGAGGTGTGCCCTGGAGGCTGGAAGAGGGAAGGCCTGGGCTTTGTGGGAGGAGAGGCTCATGAGCTGCTTCTGCCACAGGCAATCCTTCCTTAGAGAAATGTCGGGCACTAAAGGAGAAGCGGGAAGAAGCAGCTGAGGTGGCGTCACTGGATGTGGCCAACATCATCAGTGGTTCAGGTCAGAGTCTTGCTTCCCTTCTGCCCAGGAGAGCAAAAGGTCTGACTGACAACTGATCTGTTCACTTGTCCCCAGGCCGGCCTCGCAGACGTACTGCCTGGAACCCTTCAGGAGAAGCAACACCCCCAGGGGAGCTCTACCGCCGGACCATAGACTCAGAGGAGGAGCGGCCTCGTCAGGCACCCCCAGACTGGTCCCATATGCGTGGCGTCATCAGCAGTGACGGCGAGAGTAACTGAGCCCCATACCCTTGCCCTTCAGGAGGGTCCTCCCACCACCCCTGCTGAGCCTGCAGAGCAGGAAGCAGCCTTCAGAGAAGACAGAAGCCCTCAAAATCTCGGTATATTATTTTTCTTCACATTCTCTGTTTAGGGTGTCTACAGGGGTTATTTTTTAAGACTCAATAAAGGAATGTTTATAATTACATCAGAACCAGCCCCCGACTCTTATCCCCTGTACTTTGGGAACCAGGAACTTGAAGATAAGCTGCTGCTGCTAGTAGCCAGAGGTCTGGTTCCTTACTGGGCCCCCAGTCCCTGGACCCTGTTGTCTGGTCTGTTACCAGGCCGTATCAGCAGTATGGCTCCTAACCTTCCCCCACCTTGACCAGTGGACCCCTCTCTGATCAGTGTTAAGATACATCTACTAACTAATGTCCAGCTGGAAGATCAGAATAACTGGCCTCAGAATGTGAAGCACAAACTGGAACAGCTGGTGATTGTCATCCTCCTTTGCTGTTTACTCTCAGCCTTGAACAGATGAGAGAGACCTAACTCATCAGTTAGGGTCCTACAGACCTGTGAGGGAACTCCTGCTGTTAGGAGGCTAGTAAGGTGGGGAGATACTCTGGGAGTTTGGGCTTTAACTAGACCTGAGAATCTTTGAAGCCAAAGCAAAGGCAAGCAGAGGAATTTGAGATCAAGAGATTGACCTGCTTTTGAGTCCCTGGATCCAGTTAGGTCTGAAGTCACTAATACTACTGTAAGTTTTGGTTACACAGCCAGTCCTGGGACTTGGACTTAGGGTCTGAGCACTGACCCTGAACTGCTTTTTTTTTTTTTTTTTTTTTTGGGTCCGGTCGTGGGGCCTGAACTCTGGGCCTGGGCACTGTCCCTCAGCTCTTCAGCTCAAGGCTAGCACTCTACCACTTGAGCCACAGTGCCACTTCCGGCTTTTTTCTTTTTGCTTATGTGGTGCTGAGGAATCGAACCCAGGGCTTTGAGCATGCAAGGCAAGTGCTCTACCACTGAGCCACTTTCCCAGCCCCCTGAACTGCTTTTTGCTCAAGGTCAGCACTCTACCACTTAAGCCACAGGGCCATTTCTGCCTCCCCTCCCTCCCCCTGTCCCCCCCACCCCCTGCCCCCGCTTTCAATCCTGGGGCTTGAACTCAGGACCTGGGTACTGTCCCTGAGTCTCTTTGTGCTCAATGCTAGTGCTCTACTACTGAGCCACAGCTCCACTTCCAGTTTTGTGGTAGTTAATTAGAGGTTAAGAATCTCATGGACTTTCCTGCCCAAGCTGCTTTGAACCACGATCCTCAGATCTCAGGCTCCTGAGTAGCTAGGATTACAGGCATGAACCACCAGCACCTGGTTTCTGGCTTTTTCTGATAATTTATTGGAGATAAGCGTGTCATGGAGTTTCCTACCCATGCTTGCTTTGAACCACGATCCTCAGATCTGTCTCCTGATAGTGTCAGCTAGGATTACATGTGTGAGCTACCAATACTCTCTCGTGGTGGCCTCCCACCCTGTCTGCACCCTCACCTTGCCACCCTTGGACTCTGGACTTTCATCTGAAGAGGAAGATGAGCTTCGTGTCCTGCCTTTCTTGGAGGTCTTGGAAGAGCAGTTCTTTCTCTCCCCCTTGGGACTTGTCCCTTCCTCACCATCACTCACCTCCCTCTCTGTGTCACTGTCCTCACCATTGCCACTGCCCAAGCTGGTTGTCTCCTGATAGTGTCAGCTAGGATTACAGGTGTGAGCTACCAATACTCAGCTAAATTCACATTTTTATTGTTGGTCATAGGGCTTGAACTCAGGGCCTAGGTGTTGTCCCTGAACCTTTTTTGTCCAAGCTTAACACTCTACTACTCTGAGTCACAGCTCCACTTCCAGTCTTCTGGTAGTTAATTGGAGGTAAGAATCTCATGGACTTTCCTGCTCCATAATCCGCAGATCTCAGTAGCTAGGATTACAGGTGTGAGCCACCAGCAACCGGTAGTTAAATTCGCTTTTTAGACAGTATCATTTGCCATTGAACTGTCTTTCATATGTACCTTCGACAAAAAGGGTGAGTCCTGGGATCTGTTAGAATAACCAACAGTTTATTAAAAGCTTGTCTTGGGGCTCAGTGCCAGCCCCACAGCTGAGGGGGCTCCCATAACTGCCCCCAGCCGGGGAGCAGCCCTTTTCCAAGGTCCTTCCCTTGTTCCCTGCCCCAGCCCTGATCCCAATTGGGAAAAAAAAAAAAAAAGGACAAGACGGCACAGGACGTCAGACAGCAATGGGGGATTGGAGACCTAGGCATCCTGACCTCACCCCACCTCAGGTCCTTCCCATGGAAGGCTTTCACCCACTCTCCCGACCTTGGGCTCCAGTCCTGCTCTGCCACACCACAGGTCTGGGGCCCTGTCATCCCCAGTCCACAGCCCCACTGCAAGGGTAGTATAGTTCTCTGAATATAATATATCTAGACCCGCCCTCTCCCTCCCCCAGGGAACCAGATGAATATTTGACACGCACAGCTCCCTCCTTGCCCAGGCGGTTCGGGAGGGAGACCCTGGCACCATGGTGGGGAGGCAAGGCTCCTGGTCAGCCTTAGAGCACTGATGCCCAAGCTGGTGTGGGGCTACTGGCCAGCCCCAAGAATCTCATGAGATGAGGTCTGAGGGGAGCTGAGCCAGCATCCTGTCCCACCACTCTTGGGTGGGCCTCAAGCTGATAGCCTGCCAGGATCAGGCTCCACCCACCCCCACCCGGCCCCAGTCCTCTGTTCACCACCCTGCACTTCAAGAATAGAAGTGGGAGGATCCGTTGAGGATGTGGGAAGCAACACTGGTGCTGCGGCTCAGAGGCCCAGGCACTGCAGCGGCAGGGGGGCCCACGCTCTCACTGCCACCGCCCCCCGAGGCTGCCCGCCGCAGGGGCTGGGGGCTGTTTCTTAGTAGCAGCAGAGCTCCACCACGGGGTGCCCCACTCTGTGATGGGGGTCCTAGCCAGTTTGGGGGACCTGGAGGAGCCAACAGAGCTGGCTGGCGCCACGCTGGGGGGGGCATGCCTGGTGGGGGAGGGCCGTGGCTCCAGTGGGCCCCTGAGCGGGGGACAGGGCGGGAAGGCCAGGCAGGGGCAGGAGGTGGGGCAGGGTAGCCCTGGGCAGCAGCCTCAGCTGGGATGCCCCCCAGAGCCATACTGGAGAAGCCCAGTCTCATGCTCTCAGCATCGAAGGCCTCGATCTCACGGGCCTGCCGCTCAAGCAAACTCCGTATTCGCTCGGAGCGCCCTGTCTGCAGGGCCAGCAGCTCTTCTTCCACCTGGGGTACCCAGAAGAGGGGTGAGAGTCTCAGAATGGGGAGCTTGCCCTCCATACCTCACCCTGGAGGCAGACCCTTACCCGTTGCTCCAGCAGTGCCCGCCTCAGTGCTACTCTCTGTTCTAGCTCCCGCAGCTCCCGCTCATGCTGGCTCTCGGTGCGGATCTTGATCTTGCTCTGGTAGGCGTTAAGCAGCTCTAGCTCCTGTTGAAGCTGCTGCCTCAGGGCCTGGAACTCTGCCTCCTGGGTCTCATCAAGCCGGAGCTGGAGGGCAGTAAGAACCAGTTTTAGGGACCTCTTCCCCTTCCCCCACCATCCTCCCCTGCCCCAGGTAGGCCTGGGCCCTAAGGTGGCAAGAAGCAGCGGTCTCAACGTCTATCAGAATGGAAGATGATCATACCCTGTGGCACAGCAATTACACTTGCAGGAATTTATCCCCCAGGTATACTTGCACAAGTGCTCGAGGTGTTCACGGAAGCGTTGGGATAGCAAAATGCTGGAAACAACCTAAATGTCCACCAATAAGGGATGGGTTAAATAAATTTATGATACAGCCATACTAGGGAAAATTCTACATTGTAGCTGGGCTTGGTGGCTCACCCAGTGACACCAGCACTCAGGAGGCCAAGGGAGGAGGATTCTGAATTTGAGGTCAGCCTGGACTATATAGTGAGACCCTGTCTCAGGAAAACAAGATAAAACAAAAACACCAAATTCTACATTATTAAAAAAAAAAAAAAAGTATACGTACTGATATGTAACCGGGTCCAAAAAAAAAATTAAGGGGGAAAAAGAGATTAGAGAGGAGTATGCAAAGTATAATTCCATTTGTATTTAATATTTGTAATTTTCCAAATATGCATTGGGAAACATCTACAAAACAGTTATCATTGGCAAGTTACCTCTGAGAGGTGCAACTGGGTGAGAATGGGGCCCTCTGACCGCTTATACTCCATGTACATTTTAAGCTGCCCACTCCAGTGATGCATGTGGTTAGTTTTTAGAACAGCAACCTTCCAAATCTCCTGAAGTTTTGAGTAAATGAGCCCCAAGGGCCACACTCACTATAATCTGCTCCCTGTTCACATAGTAAACTAACTCAGGCCCAGGAAAAAATTATAGCCACTCTTTTCCTTGGTGGTTCTTTGTAGAGTAGATAGGATGGCTTTGTCAAGACCTTAAGAAAATGCTAAGAGAAACAGTAAAACCATCAAGAGTATGAAATAACAAAACCTTTGGGGAGAGCACCAAAAGTGAAAGCATTATCAGTTTTCCAAGCATAAAAAGGCTCATCCTTTTTGTCCGTACCTCCCACCTTCCACTGCCCGTTAACTAAGTTGGAAATACAGAGGCCAACCTCCACTGTCTCCCTCTCAGGTCCCCAGGCCTCACCGCCTGTGAGCTGAGCATCTCTGAGATGGACTGGTCATACTGCTCCGCCAAGATCGCCAGCTTTCGGGTCTGTTCTTCCTTGAGCCGCTTAAGGAGGCTCTTGTGCTGAGCTTTGGGTGTAGTTTCCAGCAAGTGTGCCCGCAGAGCCTTGTACTGCCGGGTCTGGATCTTACACGTCTCCTGGAACTGCTTCTTGATCTGCAGCTCCTTCGACTATGCAGCGGATGATCAAGGGGAAATGGGGGCAGGGGAGAGGAAGAGGAAGAGAAGGAACAACCAGGGGAAAGGGAGAGAAGAGGAGGAAGGAGACAGAAGCAGAGACAGGGAGAGGGAGAGAAACAGAAAACATGTTAGACAGAGGGGGCGGGGGGAGCTGTATACAGACAGACATGGAAAGATGGGATGGTGTTGAGACAGATCAGGAAGGTCTTGATGGGCAAGAGATGCCAAGAAAACAAGACAGATTCCAAGGGTACATCCAGTGTGGGTGGAATGCCACGGGAAGGAACATCAGAGTTCATGGACAGGGTACTGAGAATCTTTAGAGGACTGAGAACACAGAAGAAGCTTTGACCATGCAACAAGGGAGAAAATATGACCTCCGGATAGGAGCATGTGAGCAAACATAAGAATGTGCAAAGGACTAAGTGAGAAGACTTGAGTCACACAGAACACCCACAGAAGGCAGCACAACTAAGGAGAGAGGAAGGCCCAGGTCCAGAACCTCAGGGAGGAAGACAGGGAAGGAAAAGCACCGAGCTGAGAAATGGATAAGAAAGGTTTGCCCACTTTGGGCCACAGAGGGAAAGGGGGCAAAGGAGGTGGCCAGAAAGGGCTTGACATGTTCAACAGGCAGCATCTGCCACCTGGACCAGATCCACATTCCAGCCTGGCCCTACAAACTCAGCTCCCACTCCATGCCCAACTCCTCCCATGGCTCCCACACTCTTAACTGGGCCCCAGCCCACCACCCTCAACTGTGGAGGGTCTGTGGTCCCATCCCCCAACCCTCTAGGCTAATGCCTGATGCAGGGAAGAGATGCAGCTCCCAAACAGAAGGGAACCCAGTAGGCAATGGGTTGAGGAAAAGACCGAGGATGAAGAGACCTAAGGACTTGGGCCCTAAGGGCTCTCGGGAAGGGACCCACAAATAAGCAAGTGATGGGACCAGGAGGCTCTGGGGCAGCTCTGTAGGGACCCACAGCCCAGGGCTGGTAGTGGTCATGGTGTGATGAAGCTATGAAGGCAGAGGATGAGGTTGAGGAGTGAAAGGAATTGAGATAACGCAGATGGGGTGAAGAGGTCATGGAGCTGGGGGCCAAGGGTCCAGATTGGGGGCAAACCAGGAAGGCTAGGCGGCAGGACAAAGCAGACAGAGGCAGCCTGGGCCAAAGGTATAGTTCCGCTCAGATATTTTATTTGTGTTTGTCTTTTTCTTTTTTTTTCTTTTTTTCTTTTTCTTTTTTTGGTAGGGGGAAGGGGACAGGTTGGAAGGGAGACAGAAAAACAAAATCAAAGAGGAGAAAAAAAAAAACAAAAAAACTGTAATTTTGTTCCCACCCCACCCCCCTGGCCCCAGGCCTGAGTCAATGAGGGTGAGGATGAACACACACACAGTGGGAGAACAGCAATAACTTAGGGGTCAGGAGAACACAAAGTGTGACTTGTGGACTCTATGGTGGAGGAGGCTGCCTGTCTAAGGGCCCCAGAGGCTGGGCTGGCCTGGGGGGTGGGGGGACATGCTGAGGGAGGAGGGGTGGAAGGAAGGAGAGGACTTGGGGACTGAAAAAAAAACCATCACTGAGTCCTGGGAGATAAAGTGCTTGCTGCTCTAGATTTGGGCAGAAAGATTGGAGTTGGTTACCTCCAGGGAGGCAGGGCCCGGAACTGGCGCGTCCGGGATCTCCGCCCAGTTAAGGCCCCTGGTGGTGGCTGGCGGGAGGCAGGAGGACCAAGTCGGCGCTGGCTGCGTGGTAGCAGCCGTGGAATCCGACTGGGCCTTTCACCACGAAGCAAGCCCCAGCTGGCCAGTGTGTGGATGGCCCAGGGGGGCAAACGGGAGGCTAAACCTTGACTGGCCCGTGCTAGGCGCCAGTTCCAGCCCTTGCACAAAGCCCAAACCCTTGACAACAAGGCGAATGGGCGCCGAACAGTGGGAGGATTACCCCTCCGAGGTCCAGGAACAGGCAGGCGGCTTCGGAAGCCATCTTTGTTGGTCTTGGGGTAGAGCGCAAACAGGCCCCTGTCACCCACAGCCCCAAAGCCCTGTAGGGCCTGGAAGGCCTTGGGTGATAGGCGCAACAGAACCCGCAACCAGAGTCGAGAGATGCTCCTGCGGATCCAGGGGCCTTGCTGCCGCACCCATTTGCCTCCAGCTGCCATAGCTGCCAGGGGCAGAGCCAGGCCTGGCCAAGCCAGGAGCCAGGCTGCCCCAAGCCCCAGAGGCACACCCATAAGGCCTCGGCGCCAGCTCAGGCTCAGGACAGCCCCTAGTGCGCTGCTCTGGGCCAGTACCAGAAACAGACTGGGAGGCAGATGAAGAGCTGTACAAAGGAGTAAGTAGGAGGCCCCCAGGCCTACCAATCCCACTTCGAGGGCTAACAGTGCTGCCTGCAGGCCACCCCCACCCTGGGCTGCCAGCAGTGGGAGCAGCAGCAGAAGTAACAGGGGCAGGAGACCAGAGGAAGACCCCACTGCGAAGGAGAGGCCAGCGAGGAGGCCGTGGGACAGGAGTCCAGGGAGTTGGCTAGCAGGGCCAGGCCTTAGATGTGGTGGAGGTGGTTCTGGAGGGATGTCTGGGGAGGGGCAGCCATCTCCAGGATCCCTAAGGGTTCCAACTGGAGCCCCTTCCTCGTCCTCCTCCTCCTCCTCCTCTGGCACTGGAGTCAGTGCTGGACCCTGGACCCAGCAGAGATCCAACTCCTCATCCAGAAAGCTTCCATTCTCCTGTTCCCACAGCCTCCATGCCCCAGCCGCCTCCTCGCCAGCAACGCTTCTTTCCTCAGGTGCCAGCGATGGGACTCTAAACTCCTCTATCTTCTCCTCTGGTGGATCCCAATCTTCCTCATTATCCAAATTCCTATGTTTTTGTGAGCTGAGACTAAGGGTTCCTGACTCTTCCCCCAAAATCCTCTGCTCCTCTGGCTCCAAGGTGCTCCCTTCCTTTCCCAGAATCCTCTCTGACACTGTTCCCTCCTCCTTTCCCAGCACCCTTTGGTCCAGGACTGTCTCCTGGCCAGATGAGCAGGGCTGCTCTTCACTAGGAGTGCCTGTGCTAGGTGGTCTCAGAATGCCAGTAATGGGGTGTTCTGGGGGGCGCTGGCCTGCACGTACTTTGAGGCTCTTGGGCTGCTGGCGAACCTGGGCCGCATGCTTCTGTCGTAGCTCTTGTTCACGTCGCTTGTTGTACTCCAGCTGGTTGCCCAGCTCCGTCTGGTGCTGGAGGCGGGTGAGTTCGGCTCGTGTGCGCTGGACAGCCTGGAGCTGCCGAAGCTCCAGCTCCCGAGTGGCCTCATGCTGCCGCAGCAGCAGGGCACACTCCAAGTCCTTCTGTGTCTGTTTCTTGTTCAAGTCCTGAAGCAGAAGGGAGGCAGGCAGGGCCCAGGGCCTGGGTCAAGGAGCTTTGTTTGTATCAAGGCAGGAAAAATCCCCAACTCCTTGGCAAGGGGAGCTGATAGTGGGGTGGAGGATAGCTGGCCTGGGAACAGAGGCCTAAGGACCTTCTTGCAGGATCCAATGAGGATGGGAGGCAAGAAGGGTATTAAAGAGAACCTGAATCACAACATCACTCCAACAGAGGGGAAAGAAAACTTGAGGGAGGCAACTAAGAAAGAGATGCCAGAATGCTTGACTCATGGTGGGTGGGGCAGCCTACCTCTCGCAGCAGGTCCTGGTCCAGGCTATGACGGGCCAGCAACATCTTGCGCTTATACTGGCGACACTGCAGCTCAAAATACTGTCGCTGGCGCCTCAGCAGCCCTGCCTCCTCCTCTGCCTGGCACTGTTGCAGTTGCTCCTTCTGCCGCAGCAGCCACTCTGCCTTCTCCCGCTTGGGTGTGCTGGGGTTCTCCTGCAGTTCCTGGATGGGGCAGTGGGGAACAGGGTCAGGACCTTACTGCCCACCCTCAGTCCTCCCCGCACTGCAACGGCTCTAGCCTACCTCCTTCAGTTGCTCCTTCCGAAGCTTATAGGTTCGCTTCTGAGCCTCCAGCAGGGCAGCCAGCTCTTTTTTCTGCTGCCCGAGGATGTGCTGCTGGAACTTCCGTTCCTCTGCCTGGGCGGCTCGTGCTTCCTTCTCACCAATGGCCTGGTGCCGCCGGGCCAGCTTCTCAGCTTCAGCCCCAAAGCCAGCCCGCTGTGCCTCAAGTTCCCGCTGCAGCCGTGCGCTGTGCTCCTCACGTTCACCCCTCAACCTTGACTCCAGGGCCAGAAGCTGCTTCTGGTGCTGTCGCCGCATCCGTTTGTAACCACTTAGCTGCTCCCGCAGGGCTGAATCCTGCTCATGCTCCTGGATCTGCCGGCTGACCTAGGGTGGAGAGGGGATCAAAACACACTCAGCGCTGGCCCTCATTTTATTCACACAGATCATCTTGGTACTCCATGGGGAATACAGCTTTCAGACTCATGGTTTCATTCTTATTCTGGACCTTCCCCACACTTAACCTCTCTCTTTGAGCCTGTTTCCTCAGAGATGGTAGAAATATTATCTTACTTCATGGGTTGGTGTGATCCAATGAAAAAAAAAAAGGTGACGAGCACAGAGCCGGCACAAAAATAGAAATAACTCAGATTAGTTCAGAAGAGTGAACAGTCAGACCTAGGTTCAGATCCCAGCTCTGCCTCTTCCTCCCATGTGACTTCCTTTAGCATTTCCTGCTTCATCCATGGGCAAGTCATATACACAGGCACAGTGGCAAGCTCAACACTTAAACAGAAAAGCAGCGGCAGACTCTAAACCCAGTGCTGTGTCCTTTACCTTCAACAAACATGGAGGACACATCACACCTTATGGCCTAGCTGGGATGGATGCTGGAGAAAGAACACTGGGTCTAGATGTCCTCACCCAAGGGTGATCGCTGGTCCTATTTGCAATTACTATCACTGGCTCTTAAGCTAGTCCAGGTGGCCAAGGTATTGGAAGCCAAAGACCTCTCTGCAAAGCACCACAGAGCACGAAGAACTGTGGCAACTGAAGAGCTGGCTTCATGGAAGCCCTGGCCTCAGACAGAGGCTACAGGAACACAACAGACCAACTCGGCAGCCGTTACAGGGACAGCTGGCACCCAAATGCAGCCAAGTGGGAATGTGACCTTAAAGGTTTATTAAAAGCATGAATAAATAACTTTGTCTTATGAAAACCTTAACACTTTTCTCCTGTAGACAGAGAAAAAAATGGGAATGACTTAATTCGAGGAGAGGACCAAGATACTGTCTTCAGGACTTAGGACCCACCAAAGAACCTGGGCAAGATTCTCCCAGGGTGGCTGAAAAAAATGAAGCATACCACTGAACCCCATTCTGCCCTCTGCCTCCTGAATCCAGGAGGCCTGAAGGTACGATACATGGGCTGCACATGCCCATGGGTGCAGAGCACCTGACTAGCCAGAGGAGCCTGCGAAGCCCCCAGGAGCTGTTATTTATGGCAGGTTGTGAAAATGGATTAAGAATTTCCCACATTACAATACCAAGACTGGACAATGTGACAAAAGTCTGCTGGGAAAAAGGAGTAGAGTCACGGAGAGGAGAGAACTAGGGAGAGCAGCAAATGAGAACAGAATCTAATTAGTTGTTTGTCCCAGGAACAAAGTCATCACTTCAGGACTTGAAGACAGTCTGGAGTATCCAGGTAACTTAGAGAAGGTGATGAGCGCACTGCACTCACCAGAGAGGCAGTACGAATGGTGGCAAAATGGTCCCGGTTGCGGCAGTAGGCCCGGCGGCGGGCAGAAGAGGTGGTGGAGGTGGGAGCTGGGGCTGCAGGTGGCTGGAGTGGGCTCGGAGTTATCTCCGGCTGGTAGGGATCATCATACAGGTTGTCAGAACCCTAGAGGAAGTGGAGGTGAAAGGAATACCCATCTCAGAGGCCACTGAACCCAAAGGGAGTTACTAGAGGAGGAACAATCATGTTCCTCAGATAGCTCCTGAGGACAGTTCAAGCTAGGCTGCTTAACTGTCAGGCCTGCTCAGGGTGAGCCACATACCGGCAGGCGGTGGATTATAGAGCTGTGGGAAGTAACCGTGTGCTCGCCCTCCTGCATCATGGCCATCTCTCGGGCTTCAGGGCCTTCTTCCTCCTCCTCTTCCTCCTCTTCTTCCTCCTCTTCCTCTTCATTGTCCGAGGCATCTGCTAGGCTGTTGACTGAGCTGCTCTGGCTGGAAGCACTGATGGACATGCTGGGCACAGAGTGACTACTCTCCAGACTGGTCAGTGTCCCTGCCCGGTGCATGTAGGGCTCGGTCTCCTGTGAACAGGGCGTGGTCTGTTGGGCAAGGAAGGGGAAGGACAAGGAGTGTGTGCATGGAGGCAGCACAAGCAGTCAGAGGGTATGCAGAAGTAGGGGGTGGGGCAAGTGGGAAAGGTGGCAGGGTCAGCTGGGTCACCTCCTCCTCCTCTGGTGCCTCAGCACCAGGACCATTGGGGGCCTCTTGGAATAGAATCTTTTTCATCTTGCGGTACTGCAGGTTGTCCAGTTCCCGCACAGCATCCTTGGTTCTCTGGATCAGGTCCATGATGACTGTGGGTGGCCGCTCCCGGAGCACAAAGCGGTGCTAGGGGAAGAGAACATAGAGGCTTGCTGCAACTCCCACCCCATCACCCCATTCCAATCCAAGGCTCTGAGTATTCTCACTGGCCTGAAATATTCTCCTGAGGCCCAAACCCACCATGGTGAATACTTTCCTTGTCTCAAACCCCTCTCCCGCGAAAATGTGTCTACCACTCAATCTCCATTCCTTAGACAGTCTCTTGTTTTACAGATGTGCTGAAGGCAACGTCAGTCAGGAGATCTGAATTCTAGTCTAGTTCCACTATTCAAGTGTTATGTAGCTGGGTGCTAGTGGCTCACGGTGGGCACCAGTGGCTCACATCTGTAATTCTAGCTACTCAGGATGCTGAGAACTGAGGATCACGATTCAAAGCTAGCTGGGCAGGAAAGCCCATGAGATTCTTTTCTCCAGGGAACCACCAAAATGCCAGAAATAGAGTGCTAGTCTTAAAAAAACCTTAGGGACAATGCCCAGGCCCAGGATTGAAACAAAACAAAACAAAAAAATAAGTGCCTGGATTGGCACACACAAGAAACATGCCATGTGATCTTGGATGTATCATAAGGTCTCTTTGGGCCTCAAAAGCTATTCCAGAATTATCAAATAAGTAGGTCAAACTAGATTGTCTAAATCAGTCCTAACTAGAGATCCTTATGGACCCTTCAAAAGTGTTTCAGGGGATACCGGGTTGTGTCTCAAGTGGTAGAATGCCGGCCTACCTAGTATGAAACAGAATTCAAACCCCAGAACTGCCAAAAACAAACAAAATCAAAACACCAAGTGAAATCATACATTAAGACACCCTAGGTTTGGGGCTTGAATTACATCAGATGAGTGTGGCACCGCCGATTATCTCATGCTAATCAAAAGCTCTAGCTCGCAATAAGATATGGGGGAAGTTATTATTGTTTAGAGATTAAAGCAGTCTGATAGAAAAAAATCTTTCAAAAAAGAGTCCACTGGGCATTAAGGATGGGGTGGGAATTTGTGAATGAAGCTCCTAGTAGAGAAGGGCGTTGGGGAGGGTTTCTTGGCCTCCACCAATCTGCAGTTTTAAGGGAATACAAGCCAGTAAGCCCTCACCTTCAGAAGAACCTCTGAGGTGGGTCTATCTTGAGGGATTTTCTGAAGGCAGGAATCAACAAAATTCCGGAAGTACTCAGACCTATAAGTCACAAAGGGCGGGGGGGACAGGAGAAATAAGAATGAGCCAGGCAGCTTGACTCCATGGTCTAGCCCAGTTCCAGATACTCCAGTACTCACCAGTGTCCTGACTGGAGTGCGGGGGACTCATTCTGTGCAATGTGGTATAAGGCACTCATCGCGTTCATGTTAAACAGTGGTGGCTTCCGCTCCGCTGTGGGGAAGTCAATAGGGGAGAAGGTGAAAGATGGCAGGTGCACAGAATAGACTAGAATGGAACTTAGCAAGGTTTCAAACCCCAAAGTCTAAATTAGGAATAACATGACCTTGAGCAATTCACAATTATGTTGAATTTTCACTAGTTCCTTCCTCAGTAAATGTAGTATCTCCCCTCTCTGATACAAGCAGAAAAGGGATCAAAGAAAATAGCATTCAGGACTGGGAAGGTGGCTCAGTGGTAGAGTGCATGCCTCACATGCATGAGGCCCTAGGTTCAATTCCTCAGCACCACATAAACAGAAAAAGCTGGAAGTAGTGCTGTGGCTCAAGTGGTAGAACGCTAGCTAGCCCCGATTTGAAGAGTTGAGGGACAGCACCCTGGCCCAGAGTTTAAGCACCACGACCAACAAAAAACAAACAAACAAACAAAAAAAAACAAACAAAAAAGAACATTCACAAATGCCCACAAAAAGGCAGATGGCAGCACACATTCAGTTATTAAGTAGTACTTATTAAGAAACAAATAGGAGCAAAAAACTTGCGAAGCATTATGGGGAAGATAAAAGAATCTAGAGTTGGGCTGGGAAGGTGGCTCAGTGGTAGAGTGCGTGCCTTGCATGCTTGAGGCCTTGGGTTTGATTCCTCAGCACCACATTAGCAGAAAAAGCCGGAAGTGGTTCTATGGCTCAAATGGTAGAGCGCTAGCCTTGAGCTGAAGCACTGAGGGACAGCGCCCAGACCCAGAGTTCAGGCCCCACAACCAACAAAAAAAAAAACAAACAATCTAGACTTGCTCTCAAGGAACTTTTACCCTAAAAGAAAGGTTAAACAGGAATGATCAAGTAACATCAAGTCAGGCCTTGGTTCAGTAGCAGAGCACTTAACTAAGGTAGTGGACAGAAAGCCACTAACTACTACAAAACCTTTAAGGCTAAGAATTGGCAGGATTTGACAGGTGCTGATAATCAGAGCTCCAGGATGGTCAAAATGGACTGGAGTTTGGAGGTGTAGGATGCCATCCCTGGAGGATGGGATGGGGCGAGGACAGTAATGAAAAGGAGGAAAGAAGAAAGAAGGGAGTAAAGGGGAGACCATACTTACCCAACTCAATGCAGGTTATCCCCAAGGACCAAACATCCACTTTGCCATCATATTGCCCCTCATCCATGGCCAAGATCACCTCTGGAGCCATCCTGAGAGAATGAGAGGAAAGAGGTGAATCACCTCTCAGTCTCCACAACTCTTACTCCTGCCACCCTGGGAGCTCTTTCCACCTACCACCACCCCTCACCAGTATGGGGTGCCCACGAAGGAGTTGGCAGGTGCCATGATGGATGCGGAGCCGAAGTCCCCCAGCTTCACTAAGCCTGGCTCTGACAGCAGGATGTTTCCAGCCTTCACATCCCTAACGGAGACAAAGAAGATATGAAATGTCTCAAGAAAGTTGGGCAGGGACGTTAGCAGTTCCCAAGACAGTTGCAGACCAGAGAAATGAGGGGTGTGTGGCAAGCACTCTTATTCTAGCCATCTCTGGCACTGTTGTACCTGTGGATCATGTTGTGGGAGTGCAGGTAGGCCAGGCCTTGAAGCGCCCCATGGGTCACAGCTGCAATCTCCACTTCCTGAAGGGGCTTCTTGTGCACTGAAGAGGGGAAAAATATCAAATTAAAGGGGTTGGTAGGTGGGACTGGATTACGATCCCTTCATCCCTTCCCTTATAGCTTCTTTGCGCCCTTATCCCACTTATTGACCAAGTCACTTACCTTCTAGAAGGTCAGAAGCTGAGCCCAGACAATACTCCATCACCAGCTATGAAAGGGTCAAGCATTAGAGATCAACAGATCCTGGCTACACCTGGCCTAGCATCCATGGGAAGATTCTCAAAACAGAGCTTTTCTGCCTATCCCTTCACTCAGGTGATGCTCCAGAAGACATGACAGGGAGGAAGGGCAACTGGAGAAAATGAGGAGGTGGTGGGAGAGTCCCTGGCTAGACAAAGCCCAAGTTATTCCCCACTAGTTCCATTTGAATCCCTTTAACCCTCTATTCACTCTTCCCCTCCTCCAGACCACATGCCCCCTTCCACCTGCTACCTACATCACTCTTCAGCAAACCTCTTTCCCCCCAGACTGATCCTATTGCTCTTGGATTTGTCTGAGGACTAAAGTAGTCAGGAAAGACTTCCTCTATCTTAAGATCCCTGAACAAGGCCCACTAAAGAAACTGGGCCAGGACAAGATGGGCATGAGGAGGGGGAACAGCTTACCCAAGCTGTGTGCTCCCTCAGGTAACAGCCCCGGTACTGAATGGTATTGGGATGTCGGAGCTTCTGCAAGAACCGCACCTCCTTGATGATGTCCTGCCATTTCTATAAAGTCAGAGTGGAAAGGAGTTACACAACCTGCATCTTGAGATGGAGGTCCTCTGTACCACAGCCTGGTCTTAGGGAGCTTGACTCACCTCATTTGATTGCTTCCCACTGTAGGACATCTTCTTGATGGCCACCACCTCACTATTTCGAACATCCCGGGCCTAGAGGACCAGATCAGAGGCTGGTGATACATCATCTTCTCCTCCAGCACAGGGCAGGGGGAGATTTGCTGACCCAGTAGGAGGAGACAGGAAAGGTTGGTATGGTGGAATGGCTTAGAAGGACTGTCTGGAAGTTCACAGAGTGAAGAGAGTCCCCATCCTTACTTTACTCCCCAAGCCCCAACTCACAAAGTACACAGCTCCAAAGCTGCCATGGCCAATTTCCCGGAGGTCAGAGAAGAGCTTTTCAGGGTCATCCTTGAAGAAGAGCTCAGCCACATCAGGGTCCTTCAGGCTCCCAGCCCGGCCCCCAGCTGGCATGGTGGCCCCTGGGGGCCCTGAGAGTAGGGCCTCGCCTGGGAAAGGAAGATGGGATTCTTAGCACAGGCCAGGAGCCACAGGGAAAGAAGAGCCCTCTCCAGTTCCTGCCTTCTCCTCCCCACTCATTCTGATGAGGAGGAGGTACTGCTGAGAAAGGACAGGGGGAGATCAGGAGCAACATCCAAGCTCTGAAAAAAAATGAAGTTGCCTTGGCAACTAGATCACGGGGGCCGCGGCCCTGGAGTCCCTAAAATTGCTAGGAAGGCACTGCGAAGTCAAACACTCACCACCCCTTTCACCCCTCAACAAGTTCACATTTCCTTATAACCTGTTTTCCCTCCAGATCCCCACGTCCTGTCCCTCAAGTCCCATGCTCCCAACAATTTCCAGGCACCTTCCTGTTCCCGTTGGTGCCGAGGCCTCCTCCTCCTTCAACCTTTCACACCCTGGAAGAGAACAGGAAACAGCTAGGCCGGAGGTAGTGGAAATCCGGCCATTGTTCCAAGTGGGTACTAGCCCAGAAGAACCTGGAGACTCACTCTCACAAAGGTTAGGGATACTGTGGCAGGGAGATCTAGAATGGGAAAGCCAGGGATGGAAGTGGCATCTGACTTTGAGGGCATCTCTGTGATCTGGGATGCCTTACTTGTCTAGTCCAATTGCATAAGCAGCATATACACAGGATATCTGTGGTATGAACAGCATTTGTTGACCATGGGTATAAGTACCTCACTGCATGCTCATCTCAATTTTATGGGGCATTCTCTTTACCCCTATTTCACCAGTGAGGAATACAAGCTTAGAAAGGATAAGTGACTTGACCAAAGCTGTCTCACCACCAGCAGGCTTTTGGAACAGCTTTATGAAACCAGCAGGGCAGGGTTAGAATCAGGATCAGCATTTATCAGACAAGCTGCTGAGTAGCAGAGGAAAAAAGGACTACAGGCTCAAACCTGTAATCCTAGTTACTCAGGAAGTGGAGATTTGAGGATCGCGGTTTGAAGCCAGCTCAGGCAGGAAAGTCCATGAGACTCTTATTTCCAATTAACCACCAAAAAGCAGAAATGGAGCTATGGCTCAAGTTGTAGTTTCGAGTGAAAAAGCTAAGAGACAGCACCCAGACTCTGGATTTAACTCTAGTACTGGTGCACGCGCGCGCACACACGCACACACACACACACACACACACACACACTTTCTGGATTTAAGGTCAGAGACCAGGCAGGACTCACACACACACACTTTCTGAATTTAACTCTAGTACTGGTACACACACACACACACACACACACACTTTCTCTAAGGTCAGAGACCAGGCAGGACTTTCTCTTCACTCAAGCGTGGCCCGTACACACACGTACACACACACTTTCTCTAAGGTCAGAGACCAGGCAGGACTTTCTCTTCACTCAAGTGTGGCCCGTCCTACAGGAAGCCTCCCTTGACTACTCCAGGCCTTGGAGGGTGTTCCCTGATCACCCAGCCAAATACCAAGAAAAAGTTGCTGCTGGTTATCAGAATCAGACTCTCAAGGGGATTCCAGGAGAGAATCCGAGCTAAACACAAAGGCTCCTTCAGCAGAGCTAGACTCCCAAGAAAGAGTTCTAGCTGCTTAAAAGCACCTAACAATTTTAGCAGGTAATTATATTTGGTTGTGCGCTGTTTCCTGTTGTGTTGTTAAATGTTGTCTCTTCAACTCAACTGGAAGCTGAAGGCCAAGGAGGGAGTCTGACTGTTCAGGGGCCCAGGAGGGTAGAGGGCTCAGAAAGGCTGAGATCCCTTGTCCTCAGCTCAGCCCACAACAGCAACCAAGTTACTCAAGGCCCCCTTCTGCCAACAATGGTGCCTGGGCACTGCTCACCTGCATCACAGATCACACAAGAGCAGGTGCTCACAACCTGCCAAGACAATCTTCCTGACCTCTTTACTAGCACCAACCCCATGGCTGCCAGGATCTCAGACCACATAAAAAGGGTGCCAGCCATTGGCACACAGGTTCTCTTCCTCATAAAAACAACAGCATTTGAGCCATTACCAAGGTCTGTGCTAAATCAAAACCATGTTTTAAAAATCAATGTTCATATCCTTGTGTCTGATGAGAAATCTGTGCTCATCATTGAGCTGCCCTACCAGTATATTCCATCTGCACTGTTCAGCAACAGCTTTAGATAACTCCTTTCCATTCTTGGTTTTCTCCGATTAAATGGATTATTGTAGTATGGGACTCATGAGATCTCACTGAAACACTATGCAGACACTCAACATATGGATTTTTTTTTTCTTTCCCTGTCTCTAGGGTTGCCATAGGCTTAATGCTTCGGGAAATCATCTTACCCCAACAGCCAAGCTTTAACTGTCAAGAGAGGCCACTATGGCCATCGTTTGCCAGAAGGGCCAGCCCTTTCAGAAACCCAAAGTCTGAGAATGTGGTAAAGATGAAGGTCATGTTAAGACAGAAAATGCACAAAGCAGAAGCAGGAGTCACAGGCTCCCCTCATGAAAAGCTCCTTAGTATACAGCCCTCCTAGAAAGGAATCTCATCACACCCCCATTTTCAACCCTCACCCCAACTCATCTTCCTGTGGGCCTCTCTGGCTAAGCCTAAGCTTGGAAGAAACATGGCCAGAAACAAGTGTGGATCAAGGGCAAGACCTGGTTGAGGACTTAGTTTAAAATTCCCAGTCAGCTGTGTGACCTTGGGCAACCTCTCTGGGCCTCAATGTTCTCAACTGTAAAATGGGAAGACAGCATTAAAAGAGCTTTCACAGGGTGAATGGGATGTGTGAGGCCAAAGAGAATGGATAAGAAGTAATTTATAAAGGAAGATCACTTGATAAATGTATGAAATGTATACCAGCAAGGTTAATTGTGGCCAGGTGAAAACATTCACACACACACACACACACACACACACTTCCTTGCAAGGACAAGACATCCAACCAAATCAGGCATGAAAAGCAGATAAGCAGACCCACCATGGCAATCAGAGGCATGTGAACCAACACCCCAGAGCAGTCAGGAAAAAGAAGTATAATCATGAAGAAGAGGTGGCAACGAGGGACAAAGTTAACAGAGAAGACCAGAAAGGTACAATCCATGTGATTAACTCAAGTACCCTAGGGCATGACATTAGAGACCTGTCACCTGAGGTCCCCCATCAACCAGACACAATGAAGGGAAGAGGAAGGGGAAGAGGGTGGCAACACAAGGCCAGGCAGGCCAGAGGCTGACCACGGGCCCGGCTGGGGTTCCCCATCGTGAAGAGAGGGCCTGCCCCGGCCCAGCCTCTCAGAAAGAAGGGCTGTTTCTTCTGTGCTAGACACAGGGACCCGCGCCCCTGCACCCCGTGTCTCACCTGGTAGGGGTCACTATGGTGCCCCAGCGCCTCCGCTTCCGCCTGGAGTCCTCCAGCGGCTCTGCCAAGCAGGGAGAGGGGCAAGGAGACCTTTCCCCTTGCCACCTCTTCCTCGGCTTTCGCCCTTCCGGAGGGGCGGGCCCGGGAAGCCGCCCCTGGAGGGGAGGGGGTGACAACCTGATCTGACCTCGCGGTCCAGTCCTCCCCCAACTCGAGGGCGAGAGTTGCTGAATCCCGGATTCCTGGTGTGGGGTCTCAACCCCGTATTTTTTACACACGGAGAAAAGGAATCCGCTCTCTGAAGGCCTGGGGAGTGAACCCCGGATACTGGTGCACACAGGGGCCTGAACCCCCGAGATCTGAAATTCTATAAAACAGCCCCCCAGGTTTGGAGAGGCTGGGACCCGAGTCCCGGCTATCTGGAACAGGAGGGCTGATACCTGGGAATTTGAGAAGCGGGGGGCGAAGCCCGGAAATGTGGAACCCAGGAGCCTGAACCCGGGTCTCCGGCCACCGTCCGGGGGCCCACCCCGAGGACGTCCGGCCGCACGGCCCCTCTCACGCCGGGGTCCGAGAGTGACAGCCCCCGCTCCCGCCCTGGCCTCCTTCCTTCCTCCTCCTCCTCGCTCTCGAGGACAGCTGAGAGACTGTAGCTAAGGCGCTGCCGACTGTCTCCGCGCCCTCTCTCCCTCTCCTCTCCTCCGCCTCAGCCTCTCTCCGCACCACAGCCCGGTCTCGTCCCGGTCTCCCTCTCCCTCTTCCTCCCAATTCCAAGATGGAGACCGGGCGGGAGCGCGCAAGCGCGGTAGGAACGCCAGGCCAAAAGAGGCGGAGCCCCAGGGAAAGAGCCCCGCCCCTCCCGCCTGGCGGCTGCAGCCCGAGAGACTCGGAGTCACCGGGCCCGAGTGCGCGCGCGCCCCGCCACGCGGACCCTGGGTGGGAGGGGGCGGGGAGACGGCTGGGCTTGCCGGGGGAGGAGCCCAGCGCGCAATCCGACGACTGGTGGCGGACGGAGCAGGGACGCATGCGCTCACCCCGCCTTCGCGCCTAGCTCGAGCTTGTTGCTAGGGCAAGCTTGGGGGGGCGCGGGTGGAAGGAAAACGGTAGTTTGCGCCTGCGTGCAGGATGGAGGCTGGGAGGGGCTGGGGGAAGGCTGCGGTTGTTGCCGTTGCTGGACGCGGAAAAGGCGGGAAAATGGACCACTCTTAAGGTAGTAACTATTCCGTTTAGAGTGAGCCCCAAATGCAAGGAATTGATATCATGCAGTCAGTGTTGGGAAACTTTACCTTGTAAAAATACACCCCCCCCCAAAACGCGGAGGCCTTGCAGGGTTGCATGACTTACCCAAGGTCACAGTGCATTTATATTAAAGCATTTTCTATGTATTTAGGTCAAACCCCCAATTATTCATAAAGTTCATGGAAAGAATCAAGACACTGAATGGCAGAGCCAATGTTTTCCAACCTCGGGAAAGAGCTGAAGTAACTGCGCTATGCCTACCTGTTCCCCAAACTAAAAAAAAAAAAAAAAAAATCAACAAAGGGAATGGGCTGAGATGGCACTGGTCTGAGTTCCCAGCACTCAGGAGGTTGAGGCAGGGGGACCTCAAGTCCAAGGTCAGCCAGGGACAGGGATACATGGCAAGATCCTGTCTCAAAAAAAAAAAAAAAAAGCCTTTTATTCCCCCCAACTCTCCAGCTCTTCACTCTTTGTACATTTCTTCCAACTCAGAACCAAAGCCCAAGAAGTTGATTCACACCTGGAGAAAACAAAAACAAAACACAAAACAGGTCAGAGAGTTTGAGGGGCAGCTCTGGGGTGAGAACAGATTGAGGGAAAAGCAGAAATGACAACTAGAGCTAGATGTGGGTGCTAAATCCCACTGGGGTGGCCACCAGACTGTGCGATCTGCCAAAGACCAGAAAACCTCCCTTTCCCAATGTAAGGCTGAGAGGGCTACATCATTTCCAGTCCCAGGTAGATGGTTCAGGGCAGTGAGGTCTAGCCCAAAGCAAAATTAGCAAAGTGGATCCTGAGCTTCCAGTTCCTCTGGCCAGAGCAGTTCCCATTTCTCCCAGAGGAATCTCTTAGAACACTGAGGCCATTTGAAACTGAGGACAGCTTAAAAGAGGATGCATCATGATGTGGTTTTCACAGTAGACTAGACAACCTGATAAGATCTTTTTGCAGAAATACTTTCTCCCTTGATGGACTGACATATAAACTAGTTAGCCAATATGTCTTTCCTCCACACAACCCTTTACCCCACTCTTCTCCCGGTTCTTTGGGAAACTGATTCCCTCTAAATATCTTGTCAGCAGAACCAAATTTGTCTAAATGGAATGATGATTGAATGTGGTACGTGTCAAGTGTTTGGACATACAGACTGGGCATCTTTCTTTTGGCCTGTTAAAATTGAATTTTACAATTGTACATACTTGGCATCATAAACTTCAAGACAAAAGCAAGAGAAATATGATTCATATCCAGAATAAATCATCAAACTTCAACATTTTTTTTTGAGGGGGTGCCATCCTGGAGCTTGAACTCAGGGCCTAGGTGCTCTCCCTGAGCTTTTTTTCCCTCAAGCCTGGCACTCTTATCATTTGAGCCACAGCTCCACTTCTGGCGTTTTGGAGATAAGTTTTATTGGAGATAAGAGTCTCTGGACACCAGGTGTTGGTAGCTTACACCTGTAATCCTAGCTACTCAGGAGGCTGAGATCTGAGAATCATGGTTCGAAGCCAGCCCAGGCAGAAAAAGTCCCCATAAGACTTCAATAAACACTCAAAAACAAAAACAAAAAACCCAGAAGTGGCTCTGTAGCTCAAGTGGAAGAGCACTAGCCTTGAGCACAAAGAGGCTCAGGGACAGAGCCCAGACCCTGAGTTCAATCCCCACAAAAAAAAAAAAAAAAAAAGTCACAGAATTTCCTGCCCAGACTGGCCTTGAACCATGATCCTCAGATCTCAGCTCCCTGAGTAACAAGTGTGAGCCACCACCCTCTTAACTCATCATCATATCAAAAGGTGGATACAAACTACGGCTATGGATCAATCTTTTTAGTAGCCATAGAGTACCACCAAACTCAGGGCCTTGCACTTGCTGGGTGGGCACTCCATTGCGAAGCCACATGTCTAGCCCTTTAAAAAAAATACAGATTTTTTTTTGGGGGGTCCAGTCGTGGGGCCTGACTCTGGGCCTGGGCACTGTCCCTCAGCTCTTCAGCTCAAAACTAGCGCTCTACCACCTGAGCCACAGCACCACTTCTGGCTTTTTTCTTTTTTCTTATGTGGTGCTGAGGAATCAAACCCAGGGCCTCAGGCATGCAAGGCATGCGCTCTACCACTGAGCCACCTTCCCAGCCCCAAATACAGATTTTTTTTTTTTTTGGGTCCGGGCGTGGGGCTTGAACTTTGGGCCTGGGTGCTGTCCCTCAGCTCTTCAGCTCAAGGCTAGCGCTCTACCACTTGAGCTACAGCGCCACTTCCGGCTTTTTTCTTATGTGGTGCTGAGGAATCGAACCCAGGGCCTCAGGCATGCAAGGCATGCGCTCTACCACTGAGCCAACTTCCCAGCCCACAGATTATTTTTTAAAGAGGGACTCATCTTCTGCTTGGGCAAGTGCCTGGACACTTATTCCACAAAGCTAGGATGACAGGCACTTGCCTGTCAGGAAGGGGTATTAGGAGCCATTTTTGTTCTGACTAGTCCCCAACCCTGAGCCTCCTAAGTCATTAGGATTACAGGTGTGAGCATCAGCCCTTAGCTCAGTTATGGATCAGTCTTAGAAATGAGAAGACTATTTGAAAGAAATCAGTCACAAAATATGGGTAAGTCTATCTACATAAAGGTCACAAATAAGTAAAACTAAACCACACTCACCTATGGAAGGTGTACTTTCATGAAACTCTAAAGTAAGATGGTTAACTTCTAGGGAGACACATGACATCTCGGGAAGCAAGGAAGATGGGCGTTTTAGGGAATATTCAATTTCACAAGTGTCTCTAAGAATTTGCCAAGCATATTTTAATGCTTCTTTTTACTTTCCTAGTTGAATTTGTTAACTATTTTGTAATTGAAAATAAGAAGATAAATGGTATTTGTGGTGTAAACTGTTCCCAGTTTCTCAAGAGATAGATGTGGGGACTGATAAGCAGTATTTAAAGATGGACTCCAAGAATCTCTCTACCCCAGTTACAGTCTCCACTCCCGCCCCATCCCCTGTTCTCATAGGAGTGAAGATCCTCACCTGAGAACAAGGCAGGAACTAGGCCAGTGCCCTCAGAGCCGGGCTCTAGACCAGTGGGACTCCCGGCGTGGGTGGAAGCATTTAGCAGTGATACAGCAGAGAAGGCCACAGAAGAGAAGCAGGAAAGAGCCCAACACCAGCAGCCTGGAGCCACACAGAGCCAACTCCTCCTAGGGGTGGGAGAGAAGGGGAAAATGATGGAGAGTGGGACGATGCCTTCTCTTGGGAAGACATCTTGCCCCCAGCCCAAGAGTTATGGGTAAAGACTACATAAGAGAGAGGCTCTTTAGCATCTAGAGAGAAGCTAAAAGGAAAAATGTTATTGTGAGACAAGTTGACATTTGGCTCAATGGTTTACAGACTGCTCTCCTGCCCAGCCATGGACAAAATCCAGAATGACTGCTTGAGCCAGGAACATTCTCTCTTCTTCACATTTGAAAGGCTATGCAAACAGAGCATGAGTGAAGATGAGCAACAAACTCCCTAGCTGCTCTCCCTCTTTCACTCAGCCCATCTCCACCTAACACCAGGGAGGGAGGGCTTCTCTCCCCTCCTTGAAGGTCCTCAGAGACTCCCACTTCAGTGTCCAGTTGCAGCATCTTTGCCTGGATTCACAGTGGGCCCTCCAGTTCAGTCCCCACAGTCTTTCTTGCTTCTTCTAGGCCCTTCCTAAACTGCTTAGCATGCAGTACCCTCAAAGACTAAGCTCTTCCCAATCCCAAGGCTTGTGGTCCCTGGTCTATCCCCACTCCAGACTCTTGGATGGCAACCACTTCCTTACTCTTTAAGAATGGCAGGTGAGAAGGCGGGGATTACAACCCAGGCTCTGACACAAAACCAGTTGTGTGGCCTTAGGCAATTGACTCCCTCTGTCTCTAAACCTATTTCCTCATCTGTAAAATGGGCTAACAGCACCAACCTCAAAAGGTTATTTTAAGATCAAATGAGATAATGAACCTGAAAACACTTTGTACAGTATGAGCTACTGTACATGATCCTTTCTTAAGTGCCACCTTCTCCAGGAAGCACTCTCTATAAATATTCGAGTTAAGGGTTAATTGCTCCTTACTTTGTGTTTGTATATAATACTCTGTTTATATCTCTATGACAGCAATTAGCCTATTCTGCCTCTTGTTCACAGCTGCTTCATTCCTTAGAGATAGAGCTCAGGTTTTATCTTGCTTAAGGACAGTCCAACTGCCATTTATCAAATCTACTAGGTATCCTCTATAGGGCTGAGCATTTTTGACAGTCATCCTCATTCAATCCTTATTTGCTGGAATTCAGAGTGGTATCTTCTGTTTTAGGAAGCAGCAGAGGTTCAGAAAGGTTCAGATTCTTGCCCTAGCCCACACAGCTTCTCAAGTAGTGTTGGAAAGTCTAGAGATTTTCTTTCTTTCTCTCTCTTTCTTTCTTTCTTTCTTCCTTTTACTGTTTGCTAGTCCTGGGGCTTGAACTCAGGACCTGAGCACTGTCCCTGAGCTTCTTTTGCTCAAGGCTAGCACTCTACTACTTGAGCCACTTCCTGCTTTTTCTGTTTATGTGGTACTGAGGAATTGAGCCCAGGGCCTCATGTATGTTAGACAAGCACTTTACTACTAAGCCATTCCCAGTCCAAGTCTAGATATTTTCTACTAGGTGAAATTCCCACCTGGTACTTTCCACACACAGCATTCAGCAATGGCAGTTTACAAAACCAGGGGATCAACCTGAGGCTCTTACCGAAGTGAGCAGCTTGGTGAGTGCAAGGCCTTCGTGGCTCCAGACCCTGACACACTCCTCACCCATCTTAGGGCTCAGGGTGGCATTTCCTGCTCCCTCCTCTGAGCAGGATATGGGTGGCTGACTGGAGGGCAGGATTCCTGGACCAGCACTAAAATATAGACAGGTTCCTGGAGTTCTTTCTGGAGCCACTCTGGCTGTGATGAGGATCAGCTCTGCTGCAGAAGACCCTGAAGAGGGATAGGAAAGAAAGAAATCACAGGTAGTCAGGTGTGGTGACTCAGGCCTGTAACCCCAATCACTTGAGAGGCAGCTACTTGAAATGGAGAGACAAGAAAATCAAAGTTCAAGCAAAAAGGGTTATTCTAATCCCAGCCATACAGGAGGAAGACCAAGATGTGAGGCCTGACCCCCCAAAAGTGAAAAACCCTATATATATATATATATATATTTTTTTTTTTTTTTCTGTCGGTCCTGGAGCTTGAACTCAGGGCCTAGGCACTGTCCTTGAGCCTCTCTGTGCTCAAGGCTAGCACTCTTCCACTTGAGCCATGGCGGCACTTCCAGCTTTTTCTGTTTATATGGTACTGAGGAATTGAACCCAGGGCTTCAAAGCGTGCTAGGCAAACACTCTACCACTAAGCCATATTCCCAGTCTCAAAAAACCCTATCTTAAAAAAAAAGGCTGGGTGAAGGTAGCTCAGCGGTAGAGTGCATGTCTTGCAAGCATGAGGCCCTGGGTTCGATTCCTCAGCACCACATAAACAGAAAAAGCCGGAAGTGGCGCTGTGGCTCCAGTGGTAGAGCACTAGCCTTGAGCTGAAGAGCTGAGGGACAGCGCCCAGGCCCAGAGTTCAGGCCCCATGACCGGCAAAAAAAAAAAAGGCTGGGTGCCGATAGCTCATGCCTATAATCCTAGCTACCCAGGATGCTGAGATCTGAAGATCCTGGTTCAAAGCCAGCCCAGGCAGAAAAGTTTGTGAGACTCTATTCTACAATTACCCACCAGAAAAGCTGGACATAGAGCTGTGGTTCAAATAGTAGAATACTCGCCTTGAATAAAAGAAGCTCAGGGACAAAGCCAGGTTCTGTGTTCATGACTGGTACACACACAAAAAGCATACGTGTATATGGTATTAAAAATGAGCTTGTTGGGCTGGGAAGGTGGCTCAGTGGTAGGTAGAGCGCTTACCTTGCATGCATGAGGCCCTGGGTTCGATTCCTCAGCACCACATAAGAGAAAAGAAAAAAAAAGCCGGAAGTGGCGCTGTGGCTCAAGTAGTAGAGCGCTAACCTTGAGCTGAAGAGCTGAGGGACAGTGCCCAGGCCCAGAGTTCAGGCCCCACAACCAGAACCCCCCCCCAAAAAAAACAAAAAAATAAAATAAAAAAAAAATAAAAATGAGCTTGTGTAACAAGTCTCATGCTCTTCAACTCTCACAAATACCTTTCTCTCTCTCTTTGTTTTGGTCAATCCCGGGGCTTAAACTCAGGGCCTCAGTGCTGTCCTTAGCCTCTTTGTCCTCAAGGCCACAGCTCTCCCACTTGAGCCACTGTGCCACATCAGGGATTTTAAGTAGTTTATTAGAGATTAGAGTTTCACAGATTTTTCTGCCTGGGCTGGCTTCGAGCCATTATCCTCAGATCTCAGCTTCCTGAGTAACTAGGATTACAGGTGTGAGTCACCAGTGTCTGGCTCTAAGGCTTTCTATAATGCCAGGTTTTTGGGCATTCATGGCTGTTCAAGAATTCCACATACTTTAGCACTGAGAATGAAAATAGCTGTGCATCAATGAACACACAAAGTGACTGAAATTAGGTTACAATCAATGTAACAGTCACACAGTGACCCATGAGGTTATAGCAGAACAGGCAGATGCACCTGCCCAATGTCAGTTTGTATAAATTGATTTGTCCTTTTTTTTGGGTGGTGGAGCCTGAACTCTGGGCCTGGGCGCTGTCCCTCAGCTATACAGCTCAAGGCTAGCGCTCTACCACTTGAGCCACAGCGCCACTTCTGGCTTTTTCTGCTTATGTAGTGCTGAGGAATCGAACCCAGACCCTCATGCATGCAAAGTAAGCACTCTACCACTGAGCCACCTTACCAGTCCCTTATTTGTTCTTTTTAAAAAAGCAGTTTTCCACTAGGTATCAAAATTCATTACAAGGTTTCCACTCTGTTTTAAATTAGTAGGAACAATTTCCATGTGGAAAAACATTTGAAAGCACAGTTATCTTGCACTATAAAATAAAACCCATATGTATTAAAGAACAATGCAGCTGGGAAGGTGGCTCAGTGGTAGAGCACTTGCCTTGCATGCCTGAGGTCCTGGGTTCTATTCCTCAGCACCACATAAGCAAAAAGAAAAAAGCCGGAAGTGGTGCTGTGGCTCAAGTGGTAGAGTGCTAGCCTTGAGCTGAAGAGCTGAGGGACAGCGCCCAGGCCCAGAGTTCAGGCCCCACAACCGGACCCAAAAAAAAAAAAAAAAAAAAAAAAAAAAAAAAAAAAAAAAAAAAAAAAAAAAAAAAAAAAAAAAAAAAAATACTAAATACTTGTTTTTGTTTTTTATTTTTTGCCAGTCCTGGAGCTTGAACTCAGGGCCTGGGCACTGTCCTGAGTTTCTTTTGCTCAAGCACTGGACCACTTGAGCCACAGCACCGCTTCCAACTTTTTCTGTGTATATGGTACTGAGGAATTAAACCTAGAGCTTCATGCATGCTAGGCAAGCACTCTACCACTAAGCCACATTCCCAGCCTACCACAGGTTTTGAGTTCAAATCTCAGTACCACAAAAAAAAAGTTATTGAAAAAATAAAGAAGACAGTTTTCCAGTGAGGAAGGTTTTCCCAACAAAGACATGAAATCTAAAAGCCTTAATAAAGAACAATAACCTTAACCTCATACAAGTTAGACAGTGCTACGTGCCAGTGGCTCACTTTCATGCCTATAATCCTAGCTACTTCAGGAGGCTGACATTTGAGGATTATAATTCAAAGCCAGCCCAAGCAGGCAAGTCCAGGACATTCTTATCTCCAATTACCACCCAAAAGCCAGAATTGGAGCTGTGGCTTAGGTAGTAGAGTGCTAGCCTTGAACAAAACAGCTCAGGGACAGCATCCAGACCCTAAATTCAAATCCCAGGACTGACACACACACACACACATACACATAGTCTCTCTCCCCCTCTCCCTTTCTCTCTCTCTCTCTTCTCTCTCTCTCCCAAATAATGAAAGGTAAATTAAAGTATCAAGGAACAAGTTCCACATAGTGGTTCATGTCTGTAATCCCAGAACTCAAGAGACTGAAGCAAGGAGATCACAAGTTCAAGGCCAGCATGGGTTACATAATGAGACACTGTCTAACAAAAACAAAGGCCATCCTCTTTGACTCAGAAATACCACTTATAGAAGGCTGGTTCTGGTAGTTCATAACTATAATCCTAGCTACTCAGGAGGCTGAGAATTCAGGTTCCAAGGCAGCCTGGGCAGGAAAGTCTGTAATACTCAGATCTCCAATTAACCACCAAAAAGCCATAAATGGAGCTATGGTTCAACTGGTAGAACACCAGCCTTGAGCAGAAAAGCTCAAGGGTAGAACCTAAGCCCTGAGGCCCTGAGTCCAAGCTCCAGTACCAGCTCTTGTCCCAATATAAAAAAAAAAATTAGGGGGCTGGGAAGGTAGTTCAGTGGTAGAGTGCTTGCCTTGCATGCATGAGGGTCTGGGTTCGATTCCTAAGCACCACATAAGCAAAATAAGCCAGAAGTGGTGCTGTGGCTCAAGCGGTACAATACTTGCCTATTATTATTATTGTTGTTGTAGTTGTTGTTGTTATTTGGTCATAGGGCTTGAACTCCGGGGCCTGGGTGCTATCCCTCAGCTCTTCAGCTCAAGGCAAGCACTCTATCGCTAAACATATTATTATTGTGGTTCTGACCTATGGGTCTTCTATTCTCTATGGCTGGAACTGCTATACATTCTTCAAGCTTCAGCTTAGGCTCTATCTTTGGAAAAGTCTTTCCTTGCATATCTGTGAGACTCATCTTCAATTAACTAGCAAAAAGCAACAACTTTAAGTGTGTTCCAAGTGGTAGAATAATGGCCTTGGGCTAAAAATGCCAAGTGAAGCTGGGCACCAGTGGCTCATGCCTATAATCCTGCTATTCAGGAGGATCAGGGTTCAAAGCCAGCCTGGGCAGAAGAGCCCACTCAAAAACCGGAAGTGAGCCCAGCTCCAGTGGCTCACGCCTGCAATCCTAGCTACTCAGGAGGCTAAGATAAGGGAATCATGGTTCAAAAGCCAACTCATGCAAGAAAGTCCATGAAATTCTTCTCTCCAATAAGCCACTAGAAAACCGAAGTGTTGCTATGGCTCACGTGGTAGAGTGCTAGCCTTGAGCTGAAGAGCTCAGGGACAGAGCCCAGGCTCAGAGTTCAAGTCCCTAGACTGACAAAAAAAGAAAAACAAAAACTGGAAGTGGAGCTGTGGCTCAAAGTGGTACAGTACTAGCCTTGAGCAAAAGAGTTCAGGGAAAGTGCCCAGGCCTTGAGTTCAAGTCCCATGACCGACAAAATAAAAAATAAAAAAATAAAATAAATAAAATAAAATTGCAAAATGAATAAAATTGCCAAGAGAATATGAGGCCCTGAGTTCGGGACACAGTACCAGCACAAAAATGAAACAAAAAAAAAGGTGCCGGTGGCTTATATCTGTAATCCTAGCTACTCAGGAGGCTGAGATCTGAGAATCACAGTTCAAAGCCAGCCCGGGCAGGAAACTCTGTGAGACTCTTATCTCCAATAAACCACTAGAAAACCTGAAGCGAGGGCTGGGAAGGTGGCTCAGTGCTAGAGCGCTGGCCTTGCATGCATGAGGCCCTGGGTTCAACTCCTCAGCAACACCTAAGCAAAAAGAAAAAAACCGGAAGTGGCACTGTGGCTCAAGTGGTAGAGTGCTAGCCTTGAGCTGAAGAGCACAGAGACAGCGCCCAAGGCCAGAGTTCAAGCCCCATGACCAACAAAAATAAATAAAATTAAAAAAAAAAACACAAAAAAGTAGATTACTAAATACATTCCTTTTTTTTTTTTTTTTTGCCAGTCCTAGGGCTTGAACTCAGGTCTGGGCATTGTCCCTGAGCTTCTTTTGCTCAAGGCTAGCTCTCTACCACTTGAGTCACAGCGCCACTTCCAGCTTTTTCTGTTTATGTGGTACTGAGGAATGGAACCCAAGGCTTCATGCATGCTAGGCAAGCACTCTACCACTAAGCCACATTCCCAGCCCCCCCCAGTCCTTATTCTTATTCCTTGTTTACATGTTTACATACATGTACACTTAGACATACACCAACTTAACCCTATGACACACATGTCTGTAACTCACAGAAGAATCTTAGGATGATATTGTTGGAAAGAACCCCAGAAGGGGCTGGGAATGTGGCTTAGTGGTAGAGTGCTTGCCTGGCATGCATGAAGCCCTGGGTTCAATTCCTTAGTACCATATAAACAGAAAAAGCTGGAAGTGGTGCTATGGCTCAAGAGTGCTAGCCTTGAGCAAAAAAAGCTCAGGGACAGTATCCAGGCCCTGTGTTCAAGCCCCAAAACTGCCAAAATAAGAAAAAGGATCCCAGGGGCTGGGAAGGTGGCTCAGTGGTAGAGCGCTTGCCTTGCATGTATGAAGCCCTGGGTTCCATTCCTCAGCACCACATAAGCAAAAAGAAAAAAACTGGAAGTGGCACTGTGGCTCAAGTGGTAGAGCACTAGCCTTGAGCTGAAGAGCTGAGGGACAGAGCCCAGGCCCAGAGTTCAGGCCCCACGACCAGACCCCCCCCCAAAAAAAAGGTTCCCAGAAGTCTGATGATTCTACTTTTCTTCCCTTCTTTTTCTTATTTTAAAGTTTTCATTATAGCCGGGCCCCAGTGGCTCACACCTGTAATCCTAGCTACTCAGGAGGCTGAGATCTGAGGGTCGAGGTTCAAAGCCAGCCCCTGCAGGAAAGTCCGTGAGACTCTTATCTCCAATAAAACACTAGAAAACCGGAAGTGGCGCTGTGGCTCAAGCAGTAGAGCACTGGCCTGGAGCTGAAGAGTGCAGGGACAGCACCCAAGCCCAGAGTACAAGCCCCACGACTGACAAAAAAAAAAATAATAATAATAAGTTTTCATTATAAAAGTGATGTACAAGCCCGGAGCTGGTGGCTCAAGTCTGTAATCCTAGCTACTCAGGAGGCTGAGATATGAGGATCACCGTTCAAAGCCAGGCCCAGCAGGAAAGACCATGAGACTCTTATCTCCAATAAACCACCAGAAAACCGGAAGTGGTGCTGTAGTTCAAGTGATAGAGTGCTTGCCTTGAGCTGAAGAGCTCAGAACAGGGCCCAGGTCCTGTTCAAGCCCCACAACTGCGGGGGGGGGGGGGGAGTGGTGTACCGAGAGGGTATAGTTATGTAAGTCAGGTGATGAGTACATTTCTTTTGGACATTGTCACCCTATCCTTTGGTCTCTCCCAGTTTTTCCCTCCCTCTTTCCTCCTTTTTCATTTCTTTACAGTTTTTTTTTGTTGTTGTTGTTGTTTGGTTTTTTGTCGGTCGTGGGGCCTGAACTCTTGGCCTGGGTGCTATTCCTCAGCTCTTCAGCTCAAGGCTAGTGCTCTACCACTTGAGCCACAGCACCACTTCTGGCTTTTTCTGGTACTGAGGAATTGAACGCAGGGCCTCATGCATGCAAGGCAAGCACTCTACCACTGAGCCACCTTCCCAGCCCCTCCTTATAGTTTTTAGATAAGATATCTAAGGTCAAATGCCACCCAGGAATCAATGACACTAAGTCTCTCTCTCTCTCTCTCCTCTCCTCTCTCCTCTCTCTGTGTGTCATTTTCATAGAAGCTTTCTGGAAAAAGATGGTGTGTGTGTGCGCGTGCGTGCGTGTGTGTGTGTGTGTGTGTGTGTGTGTGTGTGTGTGTGTGTGTCCCTCTCTCTTTTCTGCACACACAACTATTCTGAATACATAGTGTAAGGTCCGCCCCTGGATGGCAAGCAGACTCCACCCTCCACGCAGCAAAGTCTCCACCCAGTACCTGCGTTACCTAGGCAACTAGGACACCTGGAAGAGTCACATCTGCATCCCCTGAGGTCACATCTGAATTTGATGTGGCCACACCTTTCTCCACCCATACCCTAGATAAGGCCTAGCCCAGGCCCAGATGCCCTCTCTGTTCTTTTCTAGCTCTTTCTCAGCTCTTTCCTTCTCTTCTCTTTCCCAGCTCCCTTCTCTTTCCTAGCTCTCTCTCTCCCACCTTTCCCAGATGCTCTCTTTTCTAGCTGTCTTCTCTTTCCCAGCTCTCTCTTTCTCAGGCCTTTCCCCACCGAGTGGAGGGCCAAGATGGCCTGGTGCCAGCCAGAATGATGAATAAACCTACCCCTTACCTGAATACCACGTGCATGGTGCTGTTCTTACTTGGCTACCCCTTTTTAAAAACCTAACACATAGCAGGTACTTAAAATATTAGTTTAGACTGTTATCTGAAAAAAAAAATTTTAAAGCCTGGCACCAGTGTCTTACACCTGTGATCCTAGCTACTTAGGGGGTTGAGATTTGAGGATTGTGCTCTGAAGCCAGTCATGGCAAGAAAGTCAGCAAGTTTCTTTCTTTCTTCCTTTCTTTCTTTTTGCGGGTGATAGGGCATGAACTCGGGGCTTGGGCACTGTCCCTGAGCTCTTAGGCTCAATGCTAGTGCTCTATCACTTGAGCCAGAGTACCACTTCTGGTTTTCTGAGTGGTTTATTGGAGATTAGCGTCTCAAGGACTTTCCTGCGTGGGCTATCTTTAACACTCTATCTTTGAACCTCGATCCTCAGATCTCAGTGTCCTGAGTAGCTAGGATTACAGCCGTGAGCCACCAGCAGCCTGCTTGGTGAGATTCTTAACTACAATTAATCACCAAAAAAGCTAGAAAGAGAGTTGAGGCTCAAGTAGTAGAGCACTAGCCTTGAGTAAAAAAAAAACACAGGGACAGTGCTCAGGCTTTGAGTTCAAGCCCCAGGACAGGCGTGTGTGCGCGCACACGCAGACAGACACACACAGAAATACTAGTTTAAGTGGACACATCATGCTTTTCCCCTAAGAGGAGATTGATACAGGGTTGGGAAAGAACACTGAATAAAACCGTGCTCATCTTTTTTTTTTTTTTGCCAGTCCTGGGCCTTGAACTCAGGGCCTGGGCATTGTCCCTGAGCTTCTTTTGCTCAAGGCTAGCACTCTACTACTTGAGCCACAGCACCGCTTGCACCTTTTCTGTTTATATGGTTGGTACTGAGGAATCAAACCCAGGACTTTGCATGCTAGGCAAGCACTCTATCCCCCTAAGGCACAGTCCCTGTCATCCCTACCCATCCCATCTCATCACACTTCCAAGGCCTGAATCAAAGGGCTCTGAACTGAAAGGAGAAAGGCAAAACATAAGAGTTACCTACATTGTGGGTAAAATGTTTACTGAAAGTAGGCCTTATTATAGCAGAAGTGATGAAGGTGCAGGGTTAGAACCCAAGGTCAATAGGATGGTGATGTCAGAGGCAGGATCCAGCTCATGCTGCATCCCACCCTCAACCCTTCAGCCCCAAGTTCTCCCTGATCTCACCTTTCAATCCCATCTGACTACCAGAGATCTTGGCCTGGAATGTCTGAGTCTTGTTCCTGTCTGGACCATCCCCAAAGTTCAAGGTAGTCAGTAAGCCCACGACGTGAGACCCTTGCCACTTCCCCGTGACTGTACCATTCATAGGGCACAGGGTCAGCTGACCAAAAGATCTCAAGAAAGAGACCCAATCCTGTGAGCAAAAGAAAAGTAGAACAGATGTAAGCTTAGATCAGCAGCAGCAGCAGCAGACCTACATGGGAAAGGTGAGCAGTGGAGTACTTACCTGTGGAATGTCAGGGCTGCGAAGGCCAGTCCTATGGGTAAGGAGGAAGCCACCCAGGCCCAGGCCTGAGAAGCCAAGAAGCAGCAGGATCAAAGTGGCACAAACCAGAGGTGGGTGGTGGGCCAGACAGAGATGCAGGTTGTGCCCTGCCTGGCAGCTGCCCATGGGAAGCAGAGGAGTCTGGGCCTCCACGGAGAGCCTGCTGGAGGACAGCAAGGGAGAAGCAGACAGCCTACTGGTCAGATGGTACTCACCCATGTTATGCAAAAGGAAGCTATAGCTCAGAGAAGACAAGAAACTTGCCCAAGGCCACACAGTCAGATCCTAGCACAGCCAGACAGAGTAAGACTCTGGATTCCCAAAGTTTATCTCCCTGTTCTACTTAAATATTTGCTGCATTCGACTGCTAAAATAAAGCAGAAGCAGAACTGAGCATTCTGTACAGGCAAAGGGAATTGAAAGGGAGAATTCTCAGCTGGACAAAAAGGAAGCAGCAGCTGCGACTAGGCTTTGGTGGGCGAACAGATCTAAGCAGAACTCAGACAAGGGGAAGTGTCTAGAAGGCCCCCATTTGGGAGCTCATGGGCTAGGTAGGTGCGAATCTCCCCTGCGACTCCTTGCCTACGTCCCATCAAGCCGGTTAACCGCTGTCAGCTTGTAAAATGGGAGTTCTCAGATGAGGAAATCAGAAGGTGGATTCCATGTGACCAGACAGCAAGGTCTGCACGAATTTAGCCGTTCAGGAATTCAACAGATGTCCTTTCTCCCGGTGTCATACCGGTCCTCAAAACCAGGTGAGGCAAGGCCACACGACGGTAGGGGAAACTGAGGCTCAGTGGCTTTCCCTCACGCAGGAGTGGTAGGGCCAACGACCCACTTCCCGCCTCTACAGTGGAATAATTTATCCCGCACAAAGCGGCGACAGGTAGACGAAAAGGAGTTAAAGCATACGGGGTGACCGGAGGCCGGGAAAGGGCAGGTGACACCGACGCTCTGCCCCTGCCCTGCAGCCTCGCGCCCCAGCTTATCTGGAAGGGGGAGGCGGGAAGCAACAGGAGGGAAAAGGGCCGAGCCCGAGGGGTCGGACGGCTGGGGGCGCACCCGGGCCTCCCCTCCGACTCCAAGCCCCCCTCCGGAAGGATCTCAACACCCGCATCCCTCCCCCGATCTCGCGGCATTGGGTCCGCCCGCCGCTCGCTCTCACCGGTCCGAGCCGGGCGGAGGCCGGCGCCCCCCGCGACGTCACGCGTGAAGCGGCCGAGGGGCGGGGTCCCGGCTTCGCTCTCCCCCCGCCCCCCGAGGACCCTCCCTCCCGGGGAGGGGGTGGCGGGATGCGCATGCGTAGTGGCCACGCGGACGCCCGTTCTCAGGCTAGGAGAGCGTACCAATAGGACCTGCGACGTGGGGGGGGGGGAGGAGGAGGAGGGATAGCGGGGAAGAGGAAGAAAACTCCAGAAGTGGTGAGGAAACCAAGGGAAGTCAGGCCATGCGTGCTAGCTACACTGCAAATTCCCCAGGTCGACACGCTGGGGAGGGTGTCAATGGGAGATTCGTCTCCCCGTATTCAGTTATTCGTCTCCCACCTGCGCCCAATAGCACGGCCCAGCCGCGCCCCGATCGCGGGGCAGGGATCGGGGTCCGCCCCGGTGGCGTGGCGCTCGCTCGGGCTGGCGGAGTCTGTGCTCCCCGGCCGGGTTGCCTCCCCGCTGTTCTGCATCCATAAGAAGGCTCACTTATCTACACCTGGGATCCAGGGCCCGGTCTTTATGACTCCCTAAAATGCACAGGATCAGAGATGAGATCATCTTACCCGAAATAGCCCGCTCAGAGAGCCAGGAACTCTCGAGTTCAAATCCGGTCTGCAGGTGCCCCTGCCTAGGCCATACTCTGTTGAAAGGGGCAGTCTGCCGGGCGCCTGTGGCTCACTCTTGTAAATCTTAACTACTCTGGAGGCTGAAATCTGACGATCAGGGTTCAAAGCTAGCCCGGGCAGTCCTTAACTGCTGAGCTCCAGTGAACCACCTGAAAGCCGGAAGTGGAACTGTGGCCCAAAGTGATACAGTGCAGAAAAAAAAAAACAACTCAGGGACAGCACTTGGGCCTTGGGTTCAAAGCCTCAGGATCGGGGCCCACACACAAACACACAGTCTGTCTCTGGGCCTGGGCGCTGGCCCTCAGCGCTTCAGCTCAAGGCTAGCACTTTACCTTGAGCCACAGGCTGCTTGCAGCGTTTTCTGTCTCAGGATTGTTCTGCTTGGCTAGCTGTGAAATGTGATTCTCAGATTCCAGCCTCTGAGTAGCTAAGGTTATAGATGTGAGAGCCACTGGTTGCTGGCTTTTTTTTTTTTTTGGCACTGGTGAGACTTGAACTCAGTACTTCATACTCGTGCTTGTTTTTGTTTTTTCTCATAGCTGGTGTCTTACCACTTGAGCCATACCTTCATTTCTGGCCTTTTGCTGGTTAATTAGAGATAAGAGTCTTACAGAGGCCTGGCGCTGGTGGCTCATGCCTATAATCCTAGCTACTCAGGAGGCTGAGATCTGAGGATCACGGTTCAAAGCCAGCCCAGGCAGAAAAGTCTGTGAGATTCTTATCTCCAATTAACCACCAGAAAACCGGATGTGGTGCTATGGCTCAAGCGGTAGAGCACTTGCCTTGAGCTAAAGAGCACAGGGATAGCGCCCAATCCCAGAGTTCAAGCCCCATGACTAACAAAACAAAACAAAAAAAAGTCTTACAGACTTTCCTATAATCACTGACTTTGAACCTTGATCTGCAGATCTCAACCACCTGAGTAGCTAGGAATACAGATATTAATCACTAGGCCTTGGTTGGTTATAGCCTTGTTTTTGAGGCAGAGTCTCACTGACTTTTGCCCAAACTGCCCTCAAACCATAGTCTTCTTGTCTCTATCTCCCTAGGGGCTGCAATTACACTACACCTGGCAACTTTTTTTTCTTTTTCTTAAAAATGTGGTAATCTAGCCAGCGCTGGTGGCTCACGCTTATAATCCTAGCTACTCAGGAGGCTGAGATCTGAGGGTTGAGATTTGAAGCTAGGCCAGGCAGAAAAGTCCTTGAGACTCTTATCTCCAATAAACTACTCAGAAAAAGCTGAAATTGACACTGTGGCTCAAGTAGTAGAGTGCTAGCCTTGAGCAAAAGAAGCTCAGGGACAGCACCCTGACCCTGAGTTCAAGCCCCCGGACAGGAAAAAAAAAAGTTCAAATCCCCTTACTGGCAGGCAAGGTATCATTGGTGGTGGTTTTATGTTGTTTGTTTTTTGTAGTCCTCCGAGTTGAACTCAGAGCTTTGTACTTGCTAGGCAGGTACTCTACCATTTGGGCCACACTCAACCCACTTTGCTTTAGTTATTTCTGGGGTATGGTTATTATTGGGTATGGGGTACGTGTGCCCCAGCTGGCCTGTACTTCTGTATACTTCCCATATAGCTGTGATAAGAGACATATGCCACCACACCCAGCTATTGGTTTAGATGGGGTTTCTATGAGTTTTTATCCAGGATAGCCTCAAACTGTGATCCTCTGCATCTTTGTTTCCCGAGTAGCTGAGATCAGGAGCTACCTGATTTTTTTTTTCCTTTTTCTTAGTTTTTTTTTTTTTCTAACTTTTGGTAAAACATACTATTTCATCACCCCAGAAAGAAATCTTGTAACTACTGAACAATAACCCCTCATGCTTCCTTAAACTTTATCCTAAACACTTTTGTCTACTTTGTAGATAAAATTTTCCTAGAAAAGCAATTTTATACAAGCTGACTAAAAATATTTGTCCATTTGTCCATTTGTAACTGGCTAGCTTCACTTATAGCTTCATTTAGCATAATGTTCTCTCTCTCTCTCTCTCCCTCTCTCCCTCTCTCCCTTTCTCTTTCTTTCTCTCTCTTTCATGACTGTACTAAAGCCTGGGCACTGCTCTGAGCTCTTTTGTTTAGGCTAATGCTCAACCACTTGAACCAAAGCTTCACTTCCAGCTTTTTCATAGTTAATTGGAGATAAGAGTCTCATGGACTTTCCTGCCTGGGATGGCTTTAAATCATGATCCTCAGTCCTCAACTTCCTGAGTAGTGAGGATATCAGGCCTGAGCCACTGGCACCTGGCTCTCTCAAACTTCTATGCTTGGCCTGGGCTCAAACCACAATTCCCATATTTCCACCTCCCAAGTAGCTAGGATTACAGGCTTGAGCCACTGCACCCAGCTTACAATATATACATTTTTTAATGGTAAATAACAAGTGTTAGCAGGGATGTGGAGAAATTGAAATCCTTGTATCAGGGCTGTATATTACCTATGCTGTGGAAAACAGGCTAGCAGCATGTCAGTAAATTAATCATAGTATTATCATGTGACCCAGCAATTCTCCTAAGCGTTTACCTCAAATCTGAAAAGATGTTTAAGCAAAAAAAAAAAGCATATTGATGTTTACAGAAGCTCTATCCGCAATAGTCAAAAGCAGAAATAACCCATATGTCTAACAACAGATGAATGGATAAACAAAATGCAGTGTATACATACAATGAAATATTGTTTAGCAGTAACAAGAAAAGAAATTCTGGTCCAAGCTTCAACAAAATTAACCTTGTTGTCATGATTTCAAGTAGACAATATTTATACTGAAAGGAAGTACTATATGCTTCCACTTACATGAGACATCTAGGGTATAAAAATTCATAGAGTCAGACTGGGAATGTGGCTCAGTGGTAGAGTGCTTGCCTAGCATGCATGAAGCCCTGGGTTCGATTCCTCAGTACCACATAAACAGAAAAAGCTGGAAGTGGTGTTGTGGCTAGTCTTGAGCAAAAGAAGCTCAAGGACAATGCCCAGGCCCGGAGTTCAAGCCCCAGGACTGGCCAAAAAAAACCCAAAAAACAAAAAACATAGAATCCTAAAGTAGGATGGAGGGCCCAATGTGGTGATACATGCCTCTAATACCAGTTAGTCAGGTGGCAGAGACAGAAAGATCACAAGTTTGAGGCCAGCTTTAAAAACAAAATAGAGCTGGGGGCTAGGATGGTGGCTCAGTGGTAGAGCGCTTGCCTTAAATGCATGAGGCCCTGGGTTCGATTCCTCAGCAACACATAAGCAAAAAGAAAAAAGCCAGAAGTGGCACTGTGGCTCAAGTGGTAGAGTGCTAACCTTAAGCTGAAGAGCTGAGGGACAGCGCCTAGGCCCAGAGTTCAGGCCCCATGACTGGACCCCCCCCCCAAAAAAAGAAAAGGACAAATAAAAAAGAGCTCAGGGACAGCACCCAGACCCTGAGTTTAAACATCATGGCTGGAAAAAATACACAGGAGAGAGCAAAGGAAGGGATGACAGTGTCCAAAAAGAAATGTACTTATCATCTGACTTGTAAAATGGTAACGCTTATAATTACAATACAAATATAGTAATATAAAATATATATAAGCAAAGGGCTAGGTGTGAGTCAAGTGGTAAAGCAATTGTCTATCATGCCAGAGGCCCTAGTTTGATCCTCAGTATTGCAAAAAAAATTAAAAAAGGTAGCCTGGGGTTGCACAGCTGGGAAAATGGTAATGGGGAATTAGTGCTTAGATGGTATAGAGTTGCAATTTAGGAAGATTAAAACCTACTAGAGCCAGATGTCAGTGGCTTACACCTGCAAATCTACTCGGTAAAGCTACTCAGGAGGCTGAAATCTGAAGATCACAGTTTGAAGCCTGACCAGG